CACCAAGCTTCGCCGCGCGCGCGTCAATCAAGTGATTCAAGTGGAGATAGCGCCTTTTGATTTAATTCGGAATCCGGGTTAGCGCATTAAATCAAATGGACCTACGTGCAAAAATCCCCTATATCTCGCTTAATATGCATTTTTTCCTAATTTTGGCAACGTACGTAATTAGAGGAACTCTTTAGCTTTCAAACACGCTAAAGTAAACCAAAATCGGTCCATTAGCACGGAAACGCCAATTGTTTTAGTCAAACTTGCTTTACTGAGAAGTTTGGAAATGGCGTTTAGCGCCTTTTCACATAAATACGTCCAAATTATGAAAGAACAAACATAAATGTGGTTAAAAATTTTAACTTCCCCGCGCCGACCACACTGTGTTGGCGCAATGCGTGAAGTATTCATGCAGTCTTGTAGGCGCTATGCGTTTCACGCCAACCGCTGCTGACCACACTGTTTGGCGCAATGCGTGAAGTATTCATGCAGTCTTGTAGGCGCTATGCGTTTCATACTGACTGCCGCGCCGCTCCGTTTAACTCGACTAATTGAAGGTGTTGTCTCTTGTATCACCGAGAGACGACAAAATTAGAAATCATTATACTTTCACTCTGAGGAAATGAGATTTTGTCGTCTTTTCTCGTTTGTAATTTATTTTCTGAAACCGATTCTTTTCTCTCTTTTTTTGATACCTACATTCAAAAAGATTGCAAAATTTGCTACTCCCTACATTTTGCCGCCACGGGCCGCGGCCCATGTGGCCACCCCCTTAATCCGGCCCTGTAGTTGCCAACTCATTTTTACCTAAACGAGGTACTTCCTTTGGTTTTTTTCGCCCGATTTTTCAGGGATCATCCCTCGTGGGCTCTACTATAGGAAGTCCTGACAAGGTGGACAAATCTGTGGTGGTAATTTCAAATTATGGCGCCACTCTCAAATATTGTCATCAAATTTTCATTGGTTATCTGGGTATGATGACGTCACTGAATAATCCATTATGATTGGTTACTGATTATGGTGGTGTTATCACTTGTAATCAAAGTTTGTAAACACAATCCCAATCAATCGCCGAAATATTTGGATTTGCGGTTTGCGGTGTCAAGTAACAGAATGGAAGTTTATCCTTTCTCCGTAGCAATTGATTTTCCCCATGTTTAGTTATTTTTATCTTCATTACTTCACGCGTGCACGGTGAAATCTAAACTATGGATCAAAGCATTGTTACAACCAGTCTAGAAGCCTTAATCCGTGAGTAGAAAAGGGGGAAAATATGTCTCAACCTTTTTAGGTTATGTAATAATTTGGGAGTTCACACGTAGATAGACAAGCATATCAGAGGAAAAACCTACTTAAATTACTCTGTAATGCTCTCTAGAACAGCAGAATATCATTACCAGATGTACACGCTGTTTTCAACCAAGCGATGTTTGGTGCGGTAACTTAAATTGCATGAAAGATTGCACTCACTTTGGCATCGAATATTCCTATGCATACAAAATTCATTCCAAGCTTGACTGCATTCTATTTTAAATGAGCTTCTGACTCTACAGAAGTATGTCAACAACTTATAGAACAAGTTCTTGGTAGAGACCAAGACCAGTCTACACCGGTCAGTCATTCCCGAGGATGAGTTTTGGAACTCCACGGCGCAGTGACGTGGTATTGACTGCCTGCAATGTGTCTCTTACGGGAGCAGCCAATGTAACGTAGCATTGAGTGCAGCCCGGCTATGGCTGGGTGGGGTAGTAGATTTTAAAAAGATGCGCAATGACTAACCTGTGTAGATTGGTCTCGATAGAGGCAATGCAAGGGATGGCTCATCGCTCACCAACTGCTCAATGGTGTAACGCTCAGAGGGGCAATGAAGTTTCCATGAAAAAGTTCCCGGGGCCCGTTCGAATTGTTTTTATGTATGTCGACAAGTGTTGTCAATATTTGTGATTCAATTTTTCAAATTTTTTCAGAACGAGCAACGAATCCTCAAAATCGAACACCAGATAGAGCTGCCATTGAGGCTGTGTGTGGTCTAATCAATCGTGAACCTGATTGTTCTGGAACCGCTGCAAAATTAATCATTAGCAAAGTCCAGTCTCTTCAAGAAGCTGAGTCTCTTCAAGCTCTATCTGTAAGTCTAGTGTGTCTCTGACCTGGAAATTTGACGGTGAAACTCTGAGACCACACATCTCATTTGCAATGATGTATTAGAATCTCTACCCCCATTTGCAAGAATAATTCTTCGGGGCATTGAGAGGAGAGTCCAGGCACTAACATTCTAAGAAAAGTGTACCTAATTCAATTTGCAATGAATGAATAAATTGCTAATCTCAGAATTTTCTGAAAAAGAATGTTTCTCAGTATGTCTGTCAGCTCCCAGCAAAATGAATTTCCCCTCATTAATCTTTCAAAACCTGATCTAACATTTCCATTCCTAACGATTTTATGCGACCTTCCCATTTTTTCGCGTTCATGGGACTTTCATAATCTAGTATAGGTATGAACGAAGTGGCATAAATGCAACTATCTCTCCCCTCTTTAAAAGTTTTTTGTTAAACTGCAATTAAAAGCTATTTTGTGACCAGGGGCAATATTTCATGAAAAATCAAATAGTGAAATATGTAATGAAATTCCTGAAATACGTTTTTGAAAGATGTTTCTCATATCAGGGATTTAGTATTCAGCTTAAGCTAAATTATTATCAGATTGCTGACAAAATTGTCTAGAAGCATTATTTTACTCGTTCTTACCCCTTATATTTCCCATACGGGAAGAAGAAATAAAAACCTTGATTTACTTTGATAAAAAATTTAAGAAATTTTTGTGTTGTTGGTTGTTTCTGTAATTAATCAGAAACAGTAGCTCCCTGTTACGAAATGGAGTCCAATGTATGTACAATCTGTAAGAGTTAATCTCCTTTTTTTTGTTATTTAGATTCTTGATATGTGCATGGAGCATTGTGGTAACAGTTTTCGTGCTGAAGTTGGAAAATTCAAATTTTTAAATGAATTAATCAAATTAGTCTCGCCAAAATATTACGGTTTCATGACACCAAGCAGCGTACAGGCAGAGGTCTTAAGCATGTTAGAAAGTTGGGTACACCATTATCCAAAAGAAACTAAGATCAGAGAAGCATATGAAATGTTGAGGAAACAAGGTGTTATCAAAGTAAGTTACAAATTGTAATTAATCACTCATGTCATGTAAAACTCTGTATATGTGACTGTCCACTGAAAAAAAGACCTCAGTCCACATACTCATACTAGACCCTCAGACAAGGCACAAATTCAAGCATTTTAATGTATGTTTCCTCTTCAAAATTCCATGCAAAATATGACCTGTGAACCAAAAATTACTGGAATTAACTTCCAACCAAAATATATATATATATATATATGAGTCGCTTTTACAGCGCTCTTTGGCGCTTTACGACGCCTACTCGCCACAAACCTCGATCTTCCCACAGGTCATCGGGGAGTTGACAATCTCTTATTTCATTTAACACCCCCTGTCGCCAACCTCTCACTGGGCGTCCCCTATGTCTCCTCCCAGGAGGAACCCAATCAAGCATCTTTTTTGGCAGCCTCTCTTCCGACCAAAATATTAATGTTCTTATCTAGCCCTGGTCATGAAAAATTTGAACCTCCCGCTCACACTAAAAATCAGAGTCTCCTTGAACCAAATACCGCACTACACTGGTAAAACAGGTTTCTCAAAAAGCAGTGTTTCTTCCTCCCCCTGTGTTGTTCAAAGTTTAAGCAATGTGCTATAGCTGATCGCGAGTCAAAGCGTCAATATTGAGGTTTTTATATTTTCATACTGCAGAGACCGTCACATATGTAGTGCGCTTTAACTAAAGCAATTTACAGTTTTTCTATGAGCAGGAAGTTTAACTTTATGCATAAAAAAGGAGTTACTTTCAATTATTTCTGTTTTATAAATCGTGCTCTGTGTGTAATTTTGCATAAGTCGAATGAGGCAGACATGGCTCCAATGAACACTTCTTCCTGTTCACTGAAGCATCCAAGTATTGAGTAGAAGTACAGTCTTCGTAATCTAAAAAATGTGTCACTCATTCAATGAATATCAGTAGTGAGTATGCCCTCCAATGATTATATTTTTTTGTTTCCAGGAAGAAGCAGTCGCGGTTCATGATACTGATAACAGAAATGGTCAAAATTCATCTCAACATCATGTTGAAATCTGTAAATCCTCCATTTTAGAAGACAATGAAAAATCTCGATTGTTGCAGAAACTTCTCCAGAGCAAAAATCCTGAGGATTTGCAAGCGGCAAATAGGCTAATCAAGACAATGGTCAAGGAGGTATGCTCTCTTTTATTGTCCATCGCAGAGATTAAATAATACATTATCTATTTGTTAGGATAGAAAGCAGATAAAACACATCCCTGGTCGAGATTCTTAGTAAGCTATATGTGAATAAATCAATTTAAACATGTTTAAAAGTCTAATAAAATTAGCCATCGATTGTTAATATTTTTCTTGAAATGATTTTTGCAGAAAATTAATTACTTTTAAAAATAACAACTGCACTGCCACACAAGGATGAACGCTGCAGGAGCCTTTAGACGTTGCCATATTTCCTTCATTAATAAATGCCATTACTGGGAAAATCTTAAATATTTTTTTTTAAACATTTTTAGACAATTTTGATTGTAATTTTATCTAATGTTTGAAAATTTCAAGGAAAAATATGTATAACTTTCTTCAAAAATACATATTTTATTCAGAGAATTTTGGCAATCGTCAAATGTTCATATGGTGTTCTTCCTTAGTCTGGCAGTGTAGGGAAGTTATTAAAATAAAATATCTCAAGACCACAGACTGTTTTGTATTGTCTGCAAGATTTTTTCTAGGCCTTAAATTTTTTACTGTTTTCCAGCTGAAAGTAGCAACATTCTTGTTTACTTGATGTTTGAATCTTTTACAGGAAGAGCGAAGAGTTGAAATGAACTGCAAGCGAGTTATTGAGTTAGAAGGAATGTTCAACAATGCGAAACTATTATCTGAGATGCTAGATTCTTATTCACCTGGTGAGAGCACTGAGCAAGATCTGGAGTTGATAAAAGAGCTGCACTCCAATTGCTTAAAATTTCGTTCTACGGTCTTTAAACTGGCAGCAGACGTTAAGGACAACAAAGCCTTGTACAGTGAGTATATGCATACTTTGTTATTCAATTGAGTTTCTTGGGTCTTTGTGTCTAAATATTTTTATCATCGCTATAACCTAAATGTATTCCTTAAATGATGGGATGGTAGAACAAAGCTGGGCACACACAATTCTTAGGAGAAAATAAAACTTGGAAAAACCAAAAATTAGAATGGACCACAAAACAAGATTAGTATTTAAACATTACGGTACTTGTTTTCTTTTGAAAATTTTATGTAGAAGACAGTTTGTGCAACGAATATTGAAAGTAGCTCCTAACTAAAATATTAGGTTTTTCAATGCATGAATGGAGAATTTGCATGGAAATTTTTTATTGCTTCATCTGAAAATGCTAGAAGAGCTTATTTCACGGTATTTTTTATAATTTTTTCTGATATGGGAAATAGTATAAAAATAGATTTAAAAGTGACAAAATGCACCGCCTAGTGACGTCATCTGGCAGCATTTCCCATTTAAACACATGTTCTTTAGCACATTAGATAAGTTTGTCATATCTTCTCCAATTATTGTTCAATTCATGAACCAAGGGTATCCTTGTTTTCAGTTCACTCAGTAGTTTCCACTTAAACACGAAATTCATCAAATTTCAGACACCTGCAAATTCTCTACCCAATCTTGTTTCTCACCAAAAAACAATTATCTACTTGAGTAACATCGCGCACCAAAAGTTACTGTAATAGTTTCTTATGAAGAGCCTGCCAAAACCGTTGTAGGGTGCGATTTGAATTAAGCAGACTTTGGTTTTTTAGTGAGCAGGAAATTCAATTTTCTTCAAACCAGTGCTAAATAAAAACATTAATTTCTTGATTAAAGGCTAACATGAAAAATTTTAGTTGCGCCAATTGTTTTGGGCTGTGAAGTATGGAATGCAGGATTTGCATTAAACAGTACTGATTACCTTCTGTTTCTTTTTTCTTTCCAGATGAAGTTTTGACAGCCAATGATGCTCTGGGTGATGTTTTTGACAAATACGCTGTGAAAATTTTAGGGCGCCCTGTAGGAAGGTATGCTTCTCAACCGAGCGTGCATCCTTCGCCCGAGTCTAATCTGACTTCAAAACTGCAGTCTGATTCTCAAATGAAAGCGGCAGAAATGCAGCAACTGTCGCTGCTTGATCTCAGTTCACCTGTTGAGGAGAAGAGTCTCTCTGATACTGCAGCATTTCTACCAGAGCAAAGTATAACTCTTTTAATTTATTAAAAAGTAAAATTTTTCTAAGACCAACTTTAAAATGGGTCACTAGACAAAGTATGAGTTAAAGTACTTCGTAACATGTTTACATTTCAAAATTTCACAAGGACACAAAGAAACAAATCACACAAAGGGAAGTCTAGAAATCAACTCCTGAACAAAATGTAAAAATTAGCAAATAACATGAATTAAAAGGCAAAAATGTAAATGACGGTCATTTGTTGGATCTGATTTCCATTTAATCTGTGTTAAAAATATTTGTTAGTATCTCGTTTAGGAGTTGATTTCTGAACTTCTCGTTTTGTGAATTTATTTTATATGCAAGATTTTGAAGAGGGAACATGTGGCATATTGTCTTCAAGTTCAGACCTTGTCTAGTCGTCCTCTCAGAAATAGCTTCATGTGCACAAACTGTAAATATATGAAAATACTCATTTATACAATCAAATTTGCTGGCGTACTTCGAGGTGTCCAGCCCTGCTTCCTCAAGCACGTTTTTCTTTTAATTGATTTCCTTTATATTCTAATGTCAGTCTCTCATGTGTCAAGATATCATTTGAGAAATTGTATTGTGAAACCATCGGAAATAAGAAAAATTCTTTGTAGGTTTTTATTATGTAAAGTTGATAGAATTTTATTTCCTATAAAGGGTTCACAAATTCACTGAATGGTAAACTTAAACTTTCTTCTTATCTCTCCGGATTAAGCCCTGATTCATTTTTACAGAGACAGGTGGTAGCCTCAGCAAAGCTGCAGGAGGAACAGCGAATGATCTCGAACTTCTCTGTGATATTTTTGGAGCAGCAGCTGACTCAAAAGCGCCAGCTCTTCTAGATAATGCTGTGAATTCTGTATTGTGCAATATGGCTGTTACTGGTATGTTTCATATTTTCTATATTAGTAGATTTGTCATGCAAAGTATTCGGTTTTTTAAATAGCAATGATTGTGGTAACTTGCAATTTGATCTGCAGGCTATTGGGGTTGCATTTATAGCAGTTTATTGTAATATTATTAGAATATGAAATCACACTGTGAGTTATCGCAAAAATAACCACTTTATCAATGATGATTAATCGGTTTAAAATCAGGGGAAATGGCTCAAATGTTGATCCTAATGATTTTGTTATGATGAAGAGGGCAATGAAATCGCACCTTTATTTGTTTGATTAAAGGTAAAAATACTCTTGACAAAGAAAAGGAAAGAAATAGAAAAAATATTGTAGAATAAGAAGTTTTGCCTCTTGAAATCAACTTTTTGACACTGATCCTGTTATGGATGATAAGTCTTAACATTTTCATACATGTTGCCCCATATCAAAATAAAATGATTTAATCGTAGCTAAACCGAACCAACCTCTTGTCTATCTTTAACACTAATTACTCACTGTTCCTGTAATTCATTTGTCCGTAGATAACAAGAAAGTCATGAGCAGCTCCACTGAAAAAGCCTCAAAATCCAAGGGTCTTGATGAGTTAGATATTTTAGGAGAGACCCTGCTCAGACAAAGTTTGACGGCAAACAGTAAGATGTCTCCACAGTTTAATTTGTAAGTCGACTGTATAAACTACTTTAAAACATATACTCTACAATTAATGACACACGAATTTATTCCCCAATTTCTTTCAAGATTACTCTCCAAGACTTGCTTGCTTAACACTGGAACCCCTAAGATTCCTAATTCCAAACAGCTAAAATGGCTTGAAATTAAATCTGATTTTGGTATGGAATTCAGCGCCTGAATCTTCATTCAATCCATCCGAGACCTATTTTATCACTTCTTTTGATGTTTTAGAGAATCCCTGGTTAGTGACCAGAAAAATGTACAAATGATTTTGTGCTACTGGAATTACTAAAAATGCAATTTCTAGGGATTTTATTGAGATCGGGAGAGGATTTTCTTTTAATCAAACAGGTAGGCAATAAAATACAACAGTTTTGATCATGGTTCACTTTCAGTAAAATGCTTGAATTAAAATCCAAGTCCCTCCCACCAACTTTTGTTATGTCTTACAGTATTCATTAGTTGCGTCATTTAGCTGAGATTTGAGGAACCTTGCTTTCTCATGCCGTAAGGAAATTTACCGTAAGGACATCAATCTGATGAGAAAGTTGGTTCACGTTTATTGGAACTATTTAACAGTTTATGATTTTGTACACCTCTTTTCTTCCAGAACTGGGTCTAATGAAGGAACAGAACACCAGCAATCCTCAACTCAAAAGCCTAAAATAGAAACCCATTCAACAAGTCAGGTTTCTAAAACAGTACGCACCTCGATAGATAGTTTAGACGTGGATCTGTTGACTGATGTGACAAATCTAGTCGATGAAAATGCCATTGGTAAAGACTATTTTGTTAAAACTTCTCCAAACTGCCCCAATGGGGATGAGAAGGAAACAGTAAGTGCCACAGAAAGTCTGCTTCAATCAAACACAAATGAGCCTCTCGACCCAGAATCATCAGTTCGACGGAATTCCATCCTTCCTGATGTAAAACCCTTGAGCGATATCTCCGTACCCCTTGAGAACATCAAACCAGGTAAGATGCTCTCAAAAATAATTTAAGTCCTCCAAGTTTTGCTTGAAGTCAGTCCATAAAAATGGAAGAAATTGTATATTTAGCTTTGCAAAATTTTGACAATTTTTTCCTCATGTTTACATAATTATGATTGTATTTGAAGTTTCTATTTGAAATAATTGACAGTTATCAAACCTTAGAGGTCAATAATATGAACTGGAAAATCTTCGTTGCTTCTTTTACGCATATTCTGTTCCAGAGCGATGTGAAAACATAATAACACATCTATTTACGCATTCAACGCATCATTTTTCTATAATTGAATTTTTAAGGTTCAAGTTTACTGGATATTTGCGCTGTTTTGGTATTTTCATGACGATGACTTTATTTTAAATTTTTAGGTCCCAGATCTCCAATAACGATTTTGAATGAAGTGAATGGGATTACCGTTGTGATACATTTAGCTTTGAATGCGCCTCGCCCAGATGTCTCTGTCTTCGTTGTCACCACTACTAGCAAGAATGAAAATTCGCTCTCAAACTATCTTTTCCAACCGGTTGTTCCGAAGGTAAATATTTAAAACATATCTTCAGAACTTCCTCCCTCCTCTCTGGATTCTTTATTCTTACCAGACTGCAAAGTTGACGGATTCTCTGCAGATCTAACAAAATTTCCCCCGGAATTTTTTTTCCCATCGAACGCATCTCATAGTCCAATATTATGAGATTAATATCATTACAATTAAGGTGATTCGATGGACGCCATATTTTGTGTCAGAACGGCGTGCGATATATACCATCAATTGGTTCCATTTTGGCGCGTATACGTAGTATACCGCCTTTGCGATCGTTTCGACCCCCCACTCGATACAATAACCGAGTCCCTTAGTTCCTTACCGAAAAGTGACTACCGCGAACTTCTGAGATTTTCCAAAGCGTGTAAAAAGTTTATTTATCCGTCAATAATTATGATTTAAAGTTGTTTCTCATTCTGGGGCCCTATAGTTTATGTGTAATGAATACCAAGAGTCTACGTTACTTGGTTTTTCTTAAAAAAACCTTAGAATGGGGCGCGCTGATTTAAAATATGCATATATAAGCAGAAGCAAGCGAACTGATTCGAGGATGGCTGATCAGGTCGGCACTCGTTGAATGAGAATTTCACTTCTTCGTTTTGTTTAAAACGTTGCTTTGACAGATCTCCATACCCCTGTTATCCTTTTCAAAATTTGGTACTCCTTGCTCTGATAGCCAGGGCCAGCAGGATAGTGGTAAGTGCAATCTGTGATGAGCCTCGAGACTCATTAGCCCATGTGCTAACCGTGGCCCATACAGAAATTCACTCCCCTATCAGGCCAAAACAGTGCACAGGCAGGCACAAAACCCAGGTAGTGTCCCGGTCCTGGCTCTGTTCGCCGCGTCGCTCTCCAGCTGAAGAACAAAAGGCGACCCTCGCGGCCCTCGCCACAGTCAGACCTAATTACTTTCACTCGATTACCCATTTCACCGTCACGCTGGGATCCATCAAATTTTCGAAAAAATTGTTTCGCGAGTACTTAGCAATTTTTTCCTTACGCTCCATTCAAAGACGAATTGAAAGAGGTCTCATTCATAAAAATCGGCCGAATAGAAGAGAAGTTACAGTATTCGCAATCCGAAAAAATCAACGAAACTTCTCCATACAAAAAATAAAATGAAGGGGAAAAAAGAAATGTATAAATTACAATTAAATATAATTGACCTCAGAATTTGGCAAGCAATTCAACTATATAACGGAGAAAAAATTGGGAGAAATTACAAAAAATTCACCTCTTGCAAGGGGCTTCCCTGTAAGAATTTTGATCTGAAGGCAAGGATTGAATACCAGCGCAATACTCCATACAATACAGGACGTGCCTGAACGAACATTTTTTTTTGTGTCAAAATCGAAAATTCTAAATATTTTTTAACTACAGTGTCTCTTGAGTCGTTTAAGCCAAAAAAAAAATTCCGTCAAGATTCTGGAAAGTAAAGGCGCTTTAAAAGTATTCTGGGGCTATGTATCCTAACTGTGTCCACACATGGTTTCTGTTCAGCATATCCATGTGTAATTATTTTTACACGTAAAATCTAATTTTCACGTCAGGGATTCGACACATCTTGATTTTTTCCATTTTATACGGAAAATTGATGGTTTTTCGGGATTGAAATTATTAATGTTTCATGAAAAATAAATGCACCCAAAATGGCTATAGCATATTGATTTTTATATATTTGCACCCACGAAATTGGTTGGTAAATTCAACGAGTGAGTGCATCGACCTGGTATATCAAGTTTCTGCAATTTTTTACGGCAAATCGGTAGATTTTCGGGATGTAGATTGCTTACTTTCAATTCATGAATGAATAAAGCATGGACATGGTTGAACTTCTTTGCATGGAAATACGTTTCAAATAACAAAATCAAGACATATTTAATGCAATTGCATTTATATCGAGTCAATTTCTTTTCAATATTATATCGGGATTCATAATAGGTACCGGTGATTTGGATATTTTAGCCCCAAAAAGACCTTTAAATCGACTGTATCTTTCAGGAGTTCGACAGAATTTTTCCTTTCTTCGCTTAAATTATTCCGTAGCACTTTTCTTTAAGAATCTGATAAGATATTGGTGGGGGCAGATCAAAAAACTTAAACTCGTTCGAATGGCTTTCTACATTCAAAATACAAGGTCTCGTCAAAGTGCGTCGTCGAAGAGTTGGATCGTATGAATTCTCTTGTTGTGCTACTTGCCTATTTTGAAATCTCTGTAAATGAAAACTAAAGGGGCTGATATGTGTGAGTTAATGACGCGCCTTATCAACACATTGTGTTGGAGTTCACTGCTTGTTTTCAGCTACTCATCATTTTTCTCCAATTTTGAGGTCGCAATTCTGTTGTCAGGAGACTAAAGCACTCACTTACCAATTTTAACAAAGAAATTCATCGTAAGAAAGGCGTGGTTTTTTCAGAGAGAAAACATCGCATTCGATTCTGATATCGAAACTGCACTCGAATGTGATATTTTCTCTCTAAAAAAACCACGCCTTTCTTACGTTAAATTTCTTTGTTAAAATTGGTAAATGAGTGCTTTAGTCTCCTGACAACAGAATTGCGATCTCAGAATTGGAGAAAAATGACTAGTAGCTGAAAAAATGGAACCAATTGATGCGATATATCGCATGCCGTTCTGACACAAAATATGGCGTCCATCGAATCACCTTAATAAATGGTCGTGTAAAGCACTTAATTGTTAAGAATATTACTGCCATTAGGACAGCATGTAAAAAAACCCCTCTATATTTTCTTACTATGATACATCATAACATACACACACAACATCATACACATGTGTTTCTAAACATATTTGGATTTTTACTGACTCATCTCTGAAATAAAACAATTCTCAAGTACAAATACCTGTGTATAAACAAACCATTGATCAGTGCCACCAACAATGTCAAGTGAATGTTCTTGTTAATATGTAGCATGAGCTCCTTCAGAAGCAGAGAGTCCTCTGTATTTGTTCTATAGTTTCCTAATTTCACACCTTCATTGCAGGATTTTAGGTTGAGATTGCAGCCTGCAAGCAGCTCTGAGCTTCCTGCTTACAGTCCTTTTATGTCTCCCCCTGTTATAACCCAGGTGATGCTCATCGCAAGTCCACGGAAGGTAATGCGTTTAATTTTTAGGTCATTTAAATATACCACTAGATAAGGTGGATACAAATTTAAGTATTCTGATACATATTTTTTCTTCAAACTTTAACGGTGAACACAATTTGCTCAACGAAAATCACTGAAGTTATCTCCCAACCAAAATATGAATGTTTCTATTCAGCATTAATTACGAAAAATTGAATTTCTCACTCACATGTGAAGTCTTCTTGAATCAAATGGCGCACTTCTACAGTTTTGGTAAGCTTTTCAATGAGCAATAAATGAATTTTTCCTCACCCTGTTTGGTTTGAAGTGTAAACAATCTGCAGTAGCTGTGCCAAGGCACAGTTGAGGTTGTTATATTTTCATACTGCAAAGACTGGCATGATAACGTTTACTGTGTGTTTTAACTCTAGTAGATCAAGGTTTTTTTAATGAACAGGATGTTTGAATTAATGCACCATAAAACGTTATATCTTCATAAGGAAATATTTACAGTAATCTTCGTCGTAAAAATTATGTTTTACGTGAAATTTTGATGAGAAAACATACATCATCTTGTGTATATTTGCACCCCGTTCAGTGGTTCAATTCAGAGGTTATCAAATATGTATTTGCATAGCAAGGGAATCAATGCGATAAGTTCATAAATCAATTTTGGTGTCTGAAAAGAGCACCTTAAAAATAAAAAAGTTGAGGCAATATTGAAAAATATTACTTTGCAAAGCGAGTTAATTTCATGTCAAAACATTGCAGCTCTGACTTTGAAATTTCCTCTTTCTCTCTCTCATACTTTTAGACTCTGTAGCCTCAACTTAGACGAGGTGTCAATTAGTCGCTAGTCTTTTTTCCTTACTAGATGAAATAAAGATTTTGCTGTGGCGATTGTACCTCACAGTATGATTTTGGTTTTAATCTTTGATTCAATCAGAATTTTTGACAAAAGGTTGATGAAAATTACCTTCATATGTGTTCATTAGACTGGATTGTTGACTATGGCATTGTTTCATGGTCTATTTTGCGCTTTTTTCTACAAAATTCTTTATCTATATGTTCCATGATTAATGTAAGTTGCAAAAAAAGAAAAAAAATTATAAATTGACTGTCTAACTTTTCGTCACTGTTGGTTTCAGGATCCAATAGTTTTTCAGTTTGTTTTATCGTACACAATGGATGGAGAAACTATCACTGAGATGGGAAAGATTCAAGACTTTCCCCTTTCGTAAATTTATTCTGAAATCACGGTAAGAATATACATTTACAGGAATTTAAATTCCAAAGGACCACACATGGATTACCAAGAAATTCACCGCCGGCTAAATTCTGATTTTATGTTCCTTATGGCCTCCTGAGCAGAATGAATTTTAAAAATCGTACTTTCTAGGGGTCAATCTTCATGAAAACGAGGCTGAAAAGTGAATTTTTTTGCATATTGATTTGCAATATCTAGTGAAAACGTTGCAAAATCTGATTTGCAGGGTTGCCAAGGTCAAGAAATATCAGAATGTCATGGAATTTAAAGAAAAAAAACCGGGAAAACTTAGAATTGTCAGGGATAATTATTAATACAATAATAATATAAAAATATTATATAATAATATAATGAGACAGCTTTATTTGCTTTCTAGAATGGGTTTGATGTCTTGCCTAACAAATTTTGTCTGAAAACTATTTTAAATCATGTCTTTTTTACCATCTGGCGCATCTTCAATCATCAGGGAATATTACCGAAATGTGTCAGGGAAATTCATTTTCTGAATTATGTGGCAACCATATGTTAATAATGTTATTACCATCTAAATCACAAATTACATTTTCTGACCCAACCATTCATACCTTGATAAAAGTACTTTTCTGGAGAAATTGCTCAGTTACACCAAAGTCAAGACACTCGTACAGTGCTTTAGTTTACATAGAGATTAGAATTCGGAATCTTGCATAAATACATATAAATTATCAAGAAATTAGCAAGAAAAAAAAATAATATTTATTGCTTTTAACCTGTTTGATGACATTTTCTGAATTATTTTTTAATTTCTTTCAGATTGTGAACAAAGTGTAACATTCTTCTTCATTCAAGCTTTCAAATCCAAGATGTGTGCGATTTTTGCACAGAAGTAGATGGTAAGTCGACTTAAGACACGTGCAATATCCTTTTAGACACCCAAATTTTTGTTAAATTTTGACCAAACTTTATTTTTACCCCGGTTTTCACCCTGAAAATCATGTTTATGTTGATGTATAGTCCTCTTCTAGTGAATCTCATATTTTCAATTTGAGTTCTGAATTTGATCTCTCTCAGCCTAGTAATTTTGTTACTTCATGAGTATTCCTTTTTTTCTTTTTCTTTTCCTTTTTCTAAGAAGAAAAATAAGAGTGTTGACCTGAGTATCTTTCTGATGGTCATTACTCATTTTATGACAGTATATCGAAAATTGTATGGATAACTGTTGTTAGCAGCTATCCAAACCCATTTGTCTTTCACACCAAGTTAATTAAATAACTGATATAGAAATTATTGGGTCAGAAGGGTACATAATTTTTCCTATGCAGCTTCCTAATATTACTTCAAAGTTGGCATAAATTTTGCGAATTATTGAAAAAAATACTGCCTTGACGTATCCGATGAAATTATGTATCGTTCAGGTACAAAAAATGTTGCCAAAAATTGTAAAACTTGTGTTAGTGAATATGTGAGGCTTTTTTGCTGAGTCTTCTAAAAATATTTACATACTCTCTCTTCTCTGATATTTTGGGGGACTTTGTAAGGAAACTAAAATTTGATTGTTCTCTTAAATGTGTAAAAAAAAAAAAAAAAAAATCAACCAACAAATCCAAAAGTAATGTACCCCTGATGAATGGATTATCCTTCGATTAGAAACCACTGATTCCCAACTCATTTTAGAAACAGCATATATGCTACTGTTTCCTTATGCAGATGGGTTTTTCTATGGATGAGTCAGAATTTGTAGTTCCTGATTGAAAAAAGCAGTCTAAATGAAAACAAAAAGTAAACATATTGTCAAACATATTGTAATAACTTTAACTCATCTCAAATTTGTTTTTCTCCTAAAATCATTTTGGATAACTATCAGTTGCATCCAGTGGTCATGCTGAAAAAACATCCCCATGGTGAAAGTACAGGAACGCATGTATTAGTTTGCGGCATTGAAGACTTCCTGACATATTTTATTTTTAAAATGAAAACTTACTCAACGTCATACCCTGAGAACTCCTCTGATTTTTCTTCCGTAAGTGAAGATTAATCCATGAAAATTTCAAGCAATAGCTCTTGTTTGTTCTCCTTTGATGAGACATAAAAGGAGCGGAGATTTTTAACCACAAACAAGATACTTGTTCCTGCAGTTTCACCATCGATTTGTTATTATTTTTTCCTGTTATCTAGTTCTCTTTATGCTTCTTACAACTTTTTGATCAGTTGCAACCATCTTGAAATATTTTAATCTAGAATTTAAAAATTATGAAGGTGAATTTTCATAGAAAGTAAGGAAAATTCTCGGTATCAAATTAACTTTTCTGACATACTGGTTTTGTTCTGATGTTCTACGGACAAAAAACGGATCTTAAATGTCAAGAATAACATAATAGCTATCTATCCTTGATGAATCTTCTTTGAAATTTTGTAGTTAAAGCCAGGGCAATCTACCTTTTGAATTCATCTATTACGGACCAATAATGGATAAATATTTAATATTTGAATAATTTTGAGTTTTATTCTTGGTCTTCAAAAATGATTTCTTGAAACACACAATATGCTCTCAGACGTAGTGAATTCATTTATTGAGGAGCACTTTAAGCAATACCAGTTTTTCAGCGAAATTTCTTCGATACCTTTATAATAATGTGCTGCTGATGCAGTTTTTTTTTTTATCAAGACATTGTGTTGGAGTTCACTGCTTGGTTTTTTTTTGTTTTTTTTTTTTTTTTTTTTTTTTTTTTTTTTTTTTTTTTTTTATTCCAATCTGACTTGACGTTTCTTATCTTTGTGGATACAAAAAGCCGAAGAAATTAATCCATTATTTAGATAATTATTTCTTTTATTTTATTCATGAGTAAATGAAACTATCAAGTTTTGTTTTTTCTGCAGGAGGACAACCAGGGTGTCTACAAGTTTGGGAAACCTGGGAAATAGGGGATTGTTAGGGAATATTTCACGAAAAACTGGAAATTCAAAACATTTTGAACTTTAAATTCTGAGAAAATATCAACACTGTCCCTACAATGGTTCATAGTTCAGTATTCTGAGTTAGACTCAGTAGGATTTTGATTTTAATTAATTGAATGATTAATACATACATATGATTCGCTCTCTGGCGCTCTGCAACGCCTGATAGCCACAAAACGCGGTCCTCCCACAAGTCATCAGGGAGTTGACATTCCTTCATCTCATCCAAAACCCCCTGTCACCACCCTTTCACTGGGTGTCCCTTTGTCTCCTCCCAGGAGAAACCCAATCAAGCAATTTTTTTTGAATGATTAATACGGAAAGGAAAAAAAAGTCACATGTTTCTGTTGTTTGTCGTGAAATTAATGCCAAAAATTGTTCATTTCCAGTTCCATGCGTGTTAATTGTTGATGTGGAAAATCCAGGAATTTTGATCAGTTTGGTTAAGGAAAACCTGGAATTTTTTTCCTCCAAGTTTGTAGACATCCTGATAACTTAAGGACTTATTTGCAGAAGGTTTTGAGTGCTTGCACTTACATCCTTCTTCTATTGAGCCATTCAGTTTTCATTGCAAACAATTGAATACTCAGAAAAGTATCCGATATGTCATTTCAAAAAGACTTTTCTTTGTTTTTTCTAAGTATCCACCGATAAATCCTCAGATTTTGATGCAATCCGCTCCTAATGAGCTTATTAAAATTTTATTGTCTTTGACCGCTTTTCTAGTCAGCGAAAGTGAATATTTTTTGCCTATTTTATTTTTCCGGTCCTAGTGCCAATAAACGTTTTCAGAAGTATTTTATCAGCACTTCTTCCAATCCTTGCATTCCTTAGACATTTTTGTCATTATTCGTAAAAGATCATTCCTCTTTTTTTAAGTTCTTTGTTTCTCAGTAAAAGGCTTTCCCTGTAATTTAGTCATAATTATCTCATATTTTGTTCTTATGTTTTTACTGCTTGTTCTGGATTAAATCCCAACCTGTTTGTTTAGTTTTTTTTTTTCTTGTCAGAAAAAAAGAATAAAAGTCAAAATATTGCCTCAACTGAGAGTTTGCTGTTATTGAAATTTCTTTCATTACCCAGGGTCCATTTTGTCGGTTATTAATTTTACCGATTCATAAAAACTAGGAGGATGTTTGTATCAATACAGAAAAAAATCGAAAGTTTGAAAAATCGTTGCCTTAGATTAGGCTCTTTTTACATTTTTATCTGTTTACAGTACACTAGAGAAGTGAAAAAAATCTTTGTCTAATGAGATAATCTAGGTACAATCAAACGGTCTTCATGGCAGTATAGTCAATTTCATTACTAATTTAATACAGTGTCTGAAGACTAAAAGTAACAAAGTCCTTCTAATTTGGACTTAGAAAATCTTTAGTTATCTAATTTCAGCCATTCGCAGTTCTGTGGTTGTCAGCAGCTATCATGATTTTTTAGAAATTTCCTGTCATGATGGTGGCAGTATGTTAACTTTAATTATCAGTTTAAAAAAAAAAAACACAAGAGATCGAAATCAAAATACAGCAAGTCTTAAAAATGGCAGTAATTCTAATTAGTGTTCATAAAGACCTCTTATGGAAAAGATTATAAACTTTCACAAAAACTTCATCCACTTTAACACAAATACATGTTAAAAAGTATGTGAAAAAGTTGGAGAAAGGCTCAAAAATAAGAGAGATAGAAACTTGAATGATTTACCCATTCTATGTTTGAATCGTGTGTTCCAACTTCATTGGGTATCTTGCGTTAAATTTGCCTGAAAATCAAGCTTTGGCACTGAAAAATGAGAGGAGCTGATCTCACTGAGCAACACACAGGGTGCCTAAAAATGATACAGCAGGGATGCAGAGCGTTCTTAGCCTTCCCATTTTCCAACCGTCTTCTCCATCTGAAAAATACCTTGTCTCTAAAATTTTCAAAGTTATGACCGTTTTTTAGTTCTTCATTCACAAATTTCTGCGATTCGTAAAAAACACGCAAATTCTGCTACAAACCTACGAAAGACGTACAATTTAAGGCGATTATAAGTCGGCCTTCTCAATTATCACAGTCTCCATACTTTCTTTTTCCTTTTCTTCTGCATTTTTCTGATCAAGAAGGTTCTCACACCCCTGAAGCGGCCCCAGTTTTTAAAGGAATTTCAGTTCAATTCTTATTTGCAAAATGCATGTCCTCTGATAGTCGTTTCAAAAATAAAAAGGTTCATGCTTGCTAAAACAAATAGTAAATGGCCCCCAAAACTTTTGGCTTCTAAAATTTTAGAATGAAGTTGGAACAAAGGTTGAAGTAAGAACCTAATCACAGCCAGAAATGCAATTTTTTGTACAAAATTAAGAAAAAGCAGAAAAAATGTCAATTTGTGCCTTTTCTACTCTGCAACCTGAGAGCATTGGTTTCACTGGGCAAAATCGTCCGGTGTTACATGAGCTCATCAAAGTCATAACTAATTCATATAGTACAGGATTTTTTACAATTTTCTTTTACCTGGGATCCTGAAAAAACTTGGATGAAAAAATTTACAGCACCCTACTAAAACTCAGGAAAGAATAGAATGGATATAATGTAAAATCGGATAATGGCACCATTCAATAAAAATGTCTAAGCTAACCAATGGGCCACCTGATGATTAATTCACTTTCTGTTGATGCATCATCTATTCATTCTTTTCTTTCCCCAGTTCTATAATGGGACCCACTTTGCAGCGAAGACTTTAAGGTGTTCACAACAAAAAAATGAGCTAGCTTAAGAAATCAGAGAGGCTGCACCAGGATTCTTTGTAAGCAAGCCACGGACTGGTGTTTAGATGGTCAGACATGTTTGCACAAATAGTAAGATCCATCAAAATTCCAAGTTTCTCATTCCATATGGACAAAAATAACACCCAATTTGGTTTATCAATCAGTGAGTGAACATATTTACACAATATGTTCTACGTACAGTACCAGTAAAATCAAGGTAGGAGAACCTTTCGTGAATACTACTATAATGAATGATGCCCATGTCTTTTAAGAGACACAGCTCCGTAAATATTTCCATCAAACGACTGGCACAACTGAACGAACAGTTACCCAGGTAGGATAAATTCTATGCAAAACTTGCACATCTTCCAAAACAGTATGTCTTGATGTTTCAAAAGCGCTACTAATCGTGCGTAAATAGATAGCATAGAGTCATAAAGGGTAAAAGCACTCTTGATTCTGCATCTCACTCCAGACCAGGCGCCCAAGCTGAAACCTTGGAAATAGAGGGTAGAGGCACGATTGGACAAAAAAGTTAACGTTTTTTGCCATCTGCTTGAAACTCCATTATTTCGAGGAGCATTTAATTTGCTGGATCATTACTACCTTCATAAAAGTACTGAGGATTTAAAGGCACTTGGTCGCTGAATGCAAGAGCAGTAATTGCTTTCTGATGCCCACTATATTCCCGTTCTATTGCGCCTGTTTCAACGCTCCAAAGTCTAGCTGCCCCATCTGACGATGCTGTAATAACAAAATGAAAACCATCTTAATTAAATGGTAAAAAAGGGATTTATATCTTTAAAAATTTGAAGGAGAACGGTACAATAAAGGTATCGGGACAAATAAATGGAGACATGAAAATTTCTAATATCACAGCGGATAAACGTGACTTCTTCATTAAAGAGGACAGGCAGAAAACCCGTCAAAACATGAGTGGAAAATAAACAGGCGAGGGGAAGTAAAAAACTTCTCCTGTTTTAAAATTTAGCCTTTTTTTTCTGACAAGTTATTTAAAGAAAACCCTATTCAAAGGGAGTGAATAATTCTTTCAGGAGCGTCTTAGGAAATTTTGGGGGACGAGCACTAAAAAGTGAAGTCAGGAGCTATGTTCTTGAACAGTTGTTAACGAAAAATGAACTGACCTCTCCTCTTTTTGCCTTTATTTCTCTATTTTTGAGTTCAAAATTGCACACCCTTCGGACAGTAACTAAACTCTGATTTTTAAGGAATAATCCAGGCAGAACTCAAAAAGCATCATAAAAAGAGTTTGATGAGTGCCCGAAAAATATCTGAAATGACCTCGGTGAAAATAATTTACTTGCCTGTAAGTAAATACTTGGAATCACTTGTAAAGGCAGCATCCCACACCCATCTTTGAGAATCCGTTTTCAACTCCTGGATTAGTGAAAAATCTGAAGTTTTCCAGATACGAGCTGTTTGATCAGCAGATGTTGTGACTAGCAATCTGAGGAAAAAAATTGCAGTAATAAATAAAATGAAGAATATTGTGCCTTAACCATTAGTGTACTCTGGTGCGTAAAGAATTGTTACATATACATTTTCTTAAAAAAATAAAATATAAAATAAATGATTAACAATGTGGACCAAAAAACAGTTACAACAGTTTCAAGTTTGCAATTCTAACAAAGTTTCTTTAAGAAAAAGCTATCTCAACTTTTTTTCTGCTACGCTAAGCTCAGAACTGTTGGATTGCTATGCTAACTTTCCACTCTCAGTTGCTACGAATATGAATTAAAGTAAACCACTTGCAACTTCAGAATAAGAGCGTTTTCTATTGAAAACTCAAATTCTGAACTAGCCACCAAAGTAGCCAAGAATTACTCTCCTGAAAAATTTGAATCAGAGCATTAAGGTCTACTCTATTGCACTAATGAAAGAAGCCTAGTGAACCTTCAGACGTTGCCTAATAAAAGGCTCCACATCTTTCACTCAGCAACAGTGCCACTTCTCCATATCAGTATCCCAGAGCCAAAAGGTACTGAATTCCATTTTAGTCATTCCGAGATATCAAACCGTGCGTCAGCTTGGTTTCAATGTAAATCGCAATATTTGAAATTTTGTACCTCATGACAGGCTGAAGATAAGACTAGGTACCCAATTTTTCACACAAACGGAATCGTCATCAGAGATTTTCAAAATGACACTGACTCGATTTTTTCAAAAATGAGAGTTAGGTACCTGTTGGCTCTGGGCTACTGATATGATGACACGTCTTAAAGTGTAAACATATGCACTGCACTTTTCAGACTTAATCTTCTTAAGATTGGCATATACTAAGTTTGATTTTAAATGCTCATCCTACTCAAGAGACTGTAAGGAAAATCATAACAAAAAATCTTGAAATTAAGCTGGCGTCGAATTTCTTGGTATCCCGTACGTAGTGAATTTATTCCTACAAAAAAAGGAGTTTTCTAGAAAATGGCCAACTTTTTGTGTATAAAATTTTCAGAGAATTTTGTTCGCACTGTTATTCAATTCAGTGTATCCAAAAATTTCAAAGGAGACTATTCATATCATTTCTCGAAGATAAATATTTTACCAAGAGATATTCGTCAACATTTGAATGGTCTTATGACGTTTTTCCTAAGCACAGCAGCCTTTAGCCATATGGTCACGATTTAGTGTATCTGACAAATATTGTAACGGAATAGAAGGAAGAATTTTTGATATAAATTTTCGGTACCTCCGAATTTCATGACAAACATATGAAAAAAACCTCATTCCTTTTGTACTTACGTAGAATCTGGACTAAATTTACATTTAAGAGCATAACGATTATGGATTTCTATTCTATGTTTTGGGTTGAGTTTTGTCGGCTCATCACCAAGACCACCTGTAAGGGTCCAAATGTAGCAGTGTCCTTTATTATTAACTGCCGCCATGTAGTTTCCTTCAGAGTCTATTGCTATGGACTGAACTGACGCATCTATTTCTGGTATCTGAAAGATGAATTCATGAATTAAAAAAAGTTTCAATCAAGCCTAAAAGGAAACCTGTTGGAACAGAAGTAGTCGCCGATAAGGTAGCTTCTTACAGATTTTCAATATTTGGAATAACAATACAAATGAGGATGACACATCTTATCAATGCAAAAAGGTACAATAATTATTTCCCTCAACAATTTATCTTAATGCTAGGAGACCAATGGTCTTTAGTTCTTGAAATTTTGTATAGTTTGTACTTAATCATCCAAGATTCTCTTGCATGTCTGAAAAAACATATCGTCTGAGAAGAGCAGCAAAACAACATGTGATCCCTTGCGTAATTTTAATTCATAATTGCAGAAGAGATACCTCTAGTTGTGATACAATCTCACATGACTGAGCAAGTGAATAATTAGTTGATTATTTTCCCTTGAATTGTCAAGTTTAAAGTTAGGGGCTATTCATAAAATACGTACTTAACGCTCTAGAGAGGGAGGGATAGAGGTTTCAGAGAGCTTTACGTCATTTTGTTTTTACTTTTTAAAGGATAAGGACCTGGTTTACAAAAGCGTCACGAGGGGGGATTGAAAAATCTAAAATTTAGCATTACATATTCTATGAACAATCTCTAAAGAAAAATTATGGTGAGAAAGTATCAGGAAAAGAAACTTACAAGTTGTTCATTATGATTAGTTTTTAAATGCCATAGATGGATGATTCCGCTTTGGTCGCCTACAATTAATTCTACTTGGTTGGGATGTAAACAAACACAGTTTACAGGTGCTGAAACTTGAAATATCCTCTGACACATCAAAGTACGAGACCTGAAATAATAAATGAGATGTTACCAAATCAATAAGACTGTTCGCAAAAAGAAATCAAATTATTAAGCAAGTTTCTTGGAATTACTCTTTAAAGATAATGGAAAAATTTGAAGATGAACTTGTTCCAAAAATTAAATTTTTACAGAGAATCGAGGATTTGGATGGGAAAAGGGCACTTCTCTGGCTTAACTTTCCAGAATCTCCAAAAGAAATTTCTTTTTTTGTGAGCACATAATTTGATTCTTAAACTTGAGATCTGAGGATATCTCCGAGTTATGAAAAACATTCAGTCAAATAGATATCTCTCTGCAAATATTATTTTCCTTGTTAGGAGTAAAAAGGTAAAGGAAAATTCTGCTACTGACCTATTGACATGGATGGCAAATACATTTTTCAAATATTAGAAATGAAGGATTGAACAGTAATTTCACGGAGTATTTCACCGCTTCAATTTTAGCCGTATCAATCAGGATATTTTTCATCTCTTGGCCTCATGCCCAGGAGAGTAATGAAAAAGTCTTTCCTCATCCTTCAAATTCTCAACAGAGATTTAATTTTATGCGAGGAAAACCCCTGAATAATTGATTGACACTATTTGATTTTAAGTTTATAAGCTTTCTGCTCCTTATTTAAAACCTGTAACATGGTAGGCAATGCATTTGCGTTCATTCAGAGTTTTACCTTAAAATTTTACTTTGAAAGAGAAGTTTTTTTTCTTCCATTTTACTCTTCCATTGTAATTTGACAAGTCAAATATTTGAGAAGGAAAAATTTTGAATTTGAAATGAATGAATTCTAGCATTGCTCTTCAGACATACATACCTTAAATCCCATATTCTGGCACTACAATCTTCTCCGCCGGTGAACATCCATTTACCATCTTCTTGGAATCCTACACCAACAATATTCTTCGAGACCCCCTCATAGTTGATCACTGGATTAGGGTTGTTGCCATGTATGTCATAAATCCTGATATGTTTGTACCCTGACAGAAAATATTTTATGACAAAAAGTTAGGTACAAGAGAAAACAATGACTACTGCAAGGGATGAGTTTAACTGAGAAGCACAAACTTTTTTAATTTAAATGAGAATATGCCAGCTGATTCGGCTTATTCTGATAAAATCAAAAACATTAAATCATGTAGACCGTGCATCCTGTGTTACGGAAGGCGAGACAACTTTTAAACATTTGCATGCCAATGAGTGGTGGCACCGACCTGCATCGATGAGCTCGGTTGTCTCAGTTGCGTACATCTGCGCATGCGCAGTAGCAACTCCAAAGAATTTTTGTCGGATTGTGAGGCTTTTTTCCTTGGTTAATAATTAATTCGGAAAAATGAAACAATGCTATTCGGGTGTAAAATTATGTGTTCTAAAACTTTTCTACTTAGGAATTTTGTTTGAGAATGGACTCTAAACGAGATATTCGTGAAAAACCGAGCCCGGGCATGAATTCTCCATTGGCTCTTTGCAGTCTCTTCGAGAGCTTGGGACACACGCTCTCTCCCCTTCCCCACCCGCCCATCATGGGGCTCCAAGAGACTTGCTTCGCTCCCCCTGTACTAAGCCGAGCCGGACGCACGGTCTACGTGATTCAATTTCTTTGGATAAAATGAAAGATTTTAGGGAAAACAATTTTTTTGTGTCCAATTTACTCAAAATACCAACCTGCAGATGCAATTCGGTGTTTGTCCGGAGTAATTTCAAGAGCATTGACTTGCTGGAAGTTGATGGTTAAGGAAAATATCAAAGACAAAATGAAGGTGAAATCTTAAAAGGTTTCGTCTTAGAGCCCATTTATGCACGCGATTCGTGTCGCCGGCAGCAGTTGTAGCCGCGACGTTTTTAGGAATCGCGCAATCCATATTTTTGTCGCCGCGACACCGTTTCTCTGGAGCGCCAAAGGTCCAAAACACGTGCTCACTTTCAGTTTTCCAAGCGGCGGTCGCCGCCGCAGGTTGAAACTTGTCGCGCGCATAAATGCGCTCATATGACTCCATGTAGTTGCAAACCGCGGGCGGCAGGAAATCGCAGGGCGGCTTCTAACTATAAGCGACATGATCTAGAAATCGCTGCGGCAGTTTTGCCGCCGCCATTTGCTGTCACTTGCATATACGGCTCCATAGCCTCCCGTGTAGTTTGAAATTGCGCGATTTGTTGTTGCTGGCGACACGGCGACACAAATCGCATACATAAATGGGCACTTAGGGCTGTATTCATAGTTGAACTTTAAATTTTGACGCCTCCTTGAGCCATAAGTAAGAGTTAAATTGATTAAGGAGACCTTAACATCTGAGGAACTACTGTGAATCCAACTTTTAGTGTGTGATGGTATAAAGGGACAAGTTACAGTATGATGGGAGATCACAACTGAAAAAAACTAGGAGTATTAGGTTTTAATCTGCTGGGGTAAAATGAATTAACAAAACCAAATTTTTGCGCAAGGAGATTCGTGACTCTTCACTTCTTCGAGGTAAGCGCAAGCAATGAATTTAATCATTCCTGAAAAATTCCTAAAATTGAACTGAAAGGATACAGAGTCAGCATGCTGCATTGTCTGTTTGCAAACTCCTGAGTGTGCTTGCCATACTTTGATGGTGTGATCGTACCCTCCTGTGACCAGTAAGACTTCCTTCTCTTTAATCCACTCGTCTAATTGTTGACGATGAGCATCCATTTTTAAAAAATTTTCCAATTGAAGAGTAAATCATACAGGAAAGTTGTTGAAAAGAGGTGGAAAACTTCACTGATAAGACACAAATGCTAATCGAAATTAGTCAAAAATTCAGATCGACACTTGTTTGGAGCTTGCTTATTGAGTTTATTTCACCAAGGAAAACGATAACAGATTCATGAATATCAAGAGATTAGAAACTTTAGCCATTGTACTATGAATTAAAATTATATCTGGTAAACTACTCATTTTCATGACTCAAAAACTCATGAAGATATTTTGAAGATGTGGTGCTTGATGCTAAAACATAACCTCACTTTGATAAAATGATAAAAGCTCTGAACAACAACAACGCCTTCAAAAAGGAGAATATGCAATCAATAAACGTAACATACTTGTAGCTATATTTGACACTCGACTTTTTGAAGGCGAACTCATGGTAGATCTACATTTCCACTCCAACTTCAGACAATTCGTGAAAATCAAGCATCAATTTTTCAATTTTGTTTCCTTTTTCAAAATTTTACGATATTCTGCACTATCTCGTCCATCTCATCCTTGGTAATGATAAATAGGTGCACTTATCATTTTTTTGGACTGCCTTTCTATTTTGATAAGCACAACTAAAAAATCTATGGGTTATTTAATTCTGCTCCTTTGAGATCTCTTTCAGTTTTTATATCCAAAACAAAATTGAGCATTTTATTGCTCTGTGGCAAACCATTCCATGACATAGGTAGTAAATTTCAAGTTGTTTCAAATTCATTATGGCAAAGATACACTTGACATCAAATTTATTTGTTAATATTTGTAATAAGATAGAGTGCTCAACTGCCTGGGCAGAGTTCATATTTGGTGACTTTTTAAATTATCTGGTCCACTGAACACAGAACACTGTATCAAACCTGAATAACTTACTCATAGTTGAGACGTTCTTTTTGGAATAGTTTCAGTTTGGTTAGGATATCTGTCCTGTAAAAATATCTGGATTTTTCTGTTATGATTTTAAATTGGATTAGACGAGGATGATTTCATTCTCATTACACTTCCTGCATTTGCTGATTCCTTCACCCTCTATGGCAAGCATTAATTTTGGATCCTGGATAACACAAATCTATTTTGTTTTGTCACAAAAATCTATGTTAAGCTTTCGAAAAAACATACAAGTCTCAATTTCTTCTCAAAATTTCATTTTGGTGATCACTTTAAAAAACTAATAAAAATTTGCAACAGCATGCTATAGAGGAGTAATTTAATTTATTAAAGAACCAGAAAATGCATTGTTACGAATAAGTAGCAACACGCCATACGGGGTTAAATAACTGTTTTATCAAGTTCTCTTTAGAATCAAATGGTTCAACTGTTGATGGAAGACAAGAATCATAACCAAAAATACAGTTTGCAAACTTTTTTACGAAAAAACTTTAATAATAAAAATAAAGTCTTCATAAAACAACAACGGAATGAATATCAACTTTAAGTTTCAGAGATAAAAAATAAACTTTTAAAAAGAAGGAAGGAACAAAACAGCCTATGTTACACAACACTAGAGACAGCACTCTTTAAAAATTCCAACCTTTTGTCTTCAATAGATTTAATAAATTTATCTACCCTAGAATTCTCGTTTTCACAGACATGGCTAGTATTGTCTTTTGGCAAGCTGTCACAATGTCGCTGATAAAGGAATACGGCCCAGAATAAATGCCATGCAGAGAATTCGGGCCACAAAACGTCCGTAAAATGCAAATAGCTGTTTGATACCTGGCAACAAAAGAAGTAAATCGGCATGAGCGTTTAAAAAAAAATAGAAGTACAAAACTACAGTAAAATATCTACACAAAAAGACAAAAATTTAGAAATAGGTAAAACCTTGTTGAAAAAGTAAAAAAAGTCATTCATAATTTTTTGATTTAAAAATTAAGAGCTGCACTGAATTTCTAGATATATTACACATCACTTTGCTTAAACTCTTGTGCATGCACACAACCTAGAAAGTCTTCAGAGAAGTTGTAACACAAGCTCAGCTCTTATTTTGGAAACAATGATTAAGAGACCTTACATTAGCTATTGAGGTTGGACAGAGCCACGATATATAATATTGAAACTCAATCCGTAACATTTGACTCTTTGCTCAGGAGAGGTAGAGAAGAAGAGAGGGGAAATTGAGAGAGAAAAAAACACTTTTCAGTGTGTATAACTGCTGTAAATTATTTAATCTTTTATTTACTTCACAATGTGATACTAGTGTTTTTCATGACTAACTTTATTATTTATCTTTCACGATTAACATTTTTAAAAAAAATTAATCTACAAGAGTGGATACGTTCCGGCAAATGAGAATGGCCATGATTTTTCGCTCTAGGTTCTCTTGAATGCGGTGCATGTCAAGTGGCTGCATCAAAATAGTACACATCAAGCAGGATACAGAATCGGAAACAAGTCGGAGGAATTCACACAAATTTCAAAATATTTTTTTGCCAGACAATTCTGGCGTAAGAGTGCCAGCAATTAAATTGTTTCTGTCAGTTCAGACTTTTTAAATTCCTGAGTTCAAAACTACTGATTTAATGGAGTAAAGTTAGAAGATTCAATTATTTACCTGCCAAAGTAAAAAATCACTCAGCCTGGTTTCCCCAGAGGTTCTGATAAGTAGCTCAGGGTCTGGTGATTGGCTGGTATACAGACACCTGCTAAATAATTCAATAGTTATATCTTCTACAGTGATTAAATTCTTATGAACACCATCTATGATTAGCTTAGCTGCTTCACACATTTCATCTTGAGCTTTAGAGAGAAACAAAAAAATCACAATTATAATTGAACTAAATATCAGCGAGATAAAATCAAGCTCTTGTAATTTACGAGGACCGAGAAAAAAATTTCTCTTGACAGTCCATCAAAACTTCCTGGGTAAATGAAAGTAGGTACATTATTGAGGTCAAAATTATGATTGTTAACTTTTTTTACGTTAAAATTCCTTAAATTTAAAGACCATCCTCCAGATGAAAACAGATCTGGACAAAATAAAAAATGAGTGTCATTTGGCGTGCGTTCAATCTTCTGAGACCAGTTTCAGAAGGTATTCTTTGAACACATACACATATTGGGTTCAAAAGATTGAGCGTACACTAAACAGCACAGTTTTCCCTGTTTTTTTTTTTTTTTTTTTTTTTAATTCTGATTTTGGCACATGGGCTCTTTAGAAAAATACCAATTGGTTCATTTTGTTGAGTTCCGTTGAAAAATAGTAATTTGAGTTTTCATCTGAAAACATTTGCTACCTAAAGCCATTTCCCTGTATCGCAAAAGGCAACTAAAAATAGGGTTACTGGTAGGGGCATTAAAAACCGCCAGAAGTTCAGAATCTTTCAAACTTCCACATTTTCTTACACCTGTTAGCCAGTTTCCCACACTGTTCTTATTGGCTCTCTACAAAATTTCAAACCACTTTCAAGAAACAAAACATTCAACTTTTGGCCCTCAAAAATGTTCCCTCCTTCCACAATTTATGGGGCTTCCCCAAATTTTCAGGCGCTCTAGGAGGGTGGGGGGGGGATAACTGATTGGGCATTTTCTGTACCCTTGGAAAAGAATTGAGAGTTCCAATATCTTATAAAACTAATTAAAAAATTAAGATGCGATGAATCATACATACATGTGTAAGAAATTGCGACGTTTAAAAATGCTCTAGAGTTGTCTTTGGTGAGAAGAACTGCTTTTGCAATTAATGTTACCAGATCTGCAGGAAGCAATGTGAGATTACCTATGACCCTAATACAAACTCCTTGTTCCATTAGCTTATCCCTGAAAAAAAGGAAAATAAGATTAGATTTTCTAAGTACGTAACACAGTTTTTCCCATTACCTCCAAACTTCCATACATTTTCTGAAAAAAAAACTTCCATTTTTGAGGAGGGCGTTGAATTTTTTTTTTTATTTTATTTCTTTTTTTTCATTTTTTTAGAGCCCAGAGAAGGAAAGGTGATGAATCTTTAGCTTGGTGTCCATGATCAAAATGAGTCATTTGTGGGGCTGTGGAGTCTCACCAATCAAAATTAAGAGGCACAGATACTATTTAATCAACATGCATTCCAAGCGGAGTATCCAATAAATAAATCGACTAAAAATAAAAAAAATACTAACTCCTCCTCAAGAAGTCGATTGAATTTTTCTCTCATCAGCTCGAAGAGTGACGATACTTCTTCAGCGGTTCTCTTGAAATTTTCTATACTGAAGGCGTACACGGTGACTTCATAAATACCTAGTTCCAAGCACCATTGCAATGTTTCAGCTAGTTTATCGAACCTGCAAAGAGATAAAAGCGGCACATGAGCATGAGGTAACGTTCACAATAAATTCCTGAAAAATGATATGAAGTCAGTCTTCTTAATTGTACTTAAATCACTTGTGGGGCGCTTTAATTAAATTTCAGAATTGTTTCATGTGCTGACTCAAGCATGCCATAAAACTTAATAATTTGTTTTAATGTCATATTCACCTCCTTTCTTATGTTCATTCTAGGATTCTTGGATATTGTTTTCTGTTTTGAAGACAACCACGGCAATTTTCAAAACTTTCGCGAAGAATTCTCTCAAAAAAATTCAATGGCAAAGGAAGATATAAAGAAATATTTCAGGAGTCCTCACTGAGGACCCAGGCCTTTCCTCATCCACGGAGTTCAATGGTACTAGGCAGCCAAGTGGGATCACAACTTTTCAGTGGTAGCAAGGGGGGGGGAGGGGAAGGAGGAGGATTAACTGCACTTAGATTAATAAACTCGGAAAATTGGAGAAATTAGAAAAATTGTTGTCAAGGTTGGCAGCATTGCAATACAGCTATCAATTCTGCTCCAGCGAATTTTAAATGACATTTTAATTGATCTGATAAAGAGACCTGTTCTGAGAGAAAGACGTAGATCCAATAGAGGGCTTATTTAGATGTGCCTTTTGTAATTAACATGACATTACAAGCAGCCTATCTGGGAACCTGATGAAAAAAAATCAAGTTTGTGAGGCATAATCCGTCTAAGGACACAGATGATGCAACTGGATGAATAGTTGAATAATATAAAAAAAATGCTGAAAAGAAATATGTAGGCATGGAATTGTGGTTCTTCCTCTGCTGATCGTTTGTTAATCTTTCAGCGCGACAGATATTTAGATGGCAATTGTGTCTTGGGGCTTCTATCAGATAAGTTGGTTGTTGTTTACATTCCGTTTACGGATAGATGCGCTACTGCTGCCCAAGGATGGCAGCGCATTGACGAAAGAAAACGCTGCCACGTCAATATACTTAGGTATGTGAATTGATCGACTTCACAAAATGATTATCTACTTGAGTGACGAAAAGTGTAGCGAGTTAGGGAATGGGTGCAAACGTAACTCTCGAGAATAGGAAATAAAAAGCGCTAACTTACTACTTACCCCATAGAGTGGCCTTTCACCTTCTGAACATTTTTCTTCTTAGCATATCTTCGATTGCCATCCATTATAAAAGCGACATGGTTTGGGATTGGACCGCATCTTAAAACTCTGGCGCAGAAAGATTGAAATGCATTCAAAGAGCAGTCTCGGATCCATGACATAATTCTAATAACTACTAATATGCAAAATGGCTTGAAATTAAACTGAATAAGGTTGACGAATTTGGGCACGAATGACAGTAGTTTAAGAATTCATTGATAACTACGGGTGTAGTACAAACGTGGCCAAAACATGCATAATTAACACCACAACCCATCTACAAGTTACCGCCCACGACGCCGGTAATTTATTCGGGAAATAATTCGAACGGTCGCATACACAAGCACGGTTTTAATCCTCCATAACTTAGGAGAACACGATAGTGATTCCGCCTCAGGTTTCTTGAAAAACGAGTACATACAAGTCCGAACGAAAATAGTAAACTGAAACTGATAACTGATAAGACGTTATCACGGTGGCACTAGAATAGGAATTGATGCGTGGAACACCAACATCGTAACGTGGAAAAAATAACTAGATAATGATACTTTTAACAAGGTAGGGTAAAAATTCCTATCAACACGATAATTTCGAGATACGATAAAAAAAAACGGTTGAAACTTTGGAGTTAGTCACGGAAGCTCCCAAAATTGGATTCATAACAATGGGGATGTGTAAGATAGTCCCTCGCCATGCGCGGATGAATGCACGTGAACATGTGGAAATTTTTGCTCTCAATCATGACTTAAGAGTGCAGCGAGATCATTACAAACAGATCATTTACTTTTAAAAATGTTCTTGGTAAAAAATATTACCTAGATATCATCGATACACTTTTTACCTTCGAAGTCGGGAGACCTATTCTAGACCGCGGAGTAAAATTTCGGGCTTATTCTGAGGTTGGCAAATCAGCAGTCATTCTCGGAAAGTTTTGAGGCCAACAGCATCAACAGTGGACGTAGATCTCCGCAAGTTCCACATGTATTATTACAACTTTAACTTTCTTGTGAAAATTATTCAGTCTAGGAGTCTATATTATGGATAAGGAAGATATCCACAAAACTGCAATAGCCGCTGGTGAGTACTTTTCCATCAGATTGCCTGAAATGTTTCACCTTGATCCACTTGGACTCGCTTGTAACGGTTACCGTGTTTTTTTGTTGCAGAGCTTTACTTTCTCATCGCCAAATTTTTGGAAGCCGGGCCTTGCAGTGAAACTTCTAAGGTAACACATTTTACTCAGTTGTTCTCTCCATATTGTGCAGTGTTTTTGTTAGCTCTATTGAGCCCCAACTAATCCATTTGTTCGTCATTTTTCAGGTGCTGAAGGAGGAGTTGGTCAAGTATGAGGTGAGCATCCCTATTGCACTATCAAAGTTTTCGATGTAAACACGACTACACGTGGTTTTTGTTGTCAAATTTTATCTCTCGAGGGTGGGGAGGGACTTTCCTTTGCTATCTGACTAATATTTGTGTCCTCTTTTTTCAGATTTTGCCCAAAAGGTTGGACTGGGAAGGTTCGGAGCACAATCAGTCTTTCGATGAAGTGGTGAGTGTTTTGACCCCCCAAAATTTAAAAATTTATCAAATTTTGAATTTTGAAATTTTTCGATTTTTTCAATTTTATTTTCCCGTTCCGTGTTTTCAGTTTCCCGTGCCATCACGAATGTATCCTATTCTATTCGCCCTGACTTAGCCGTCTTTCTACCACGGATTATCAAGTTTCCATTTCTTGAAGTGTAAATCACGGTTTTTTTGAGAGTTATGCATTCAGAATTTTTCGTTCTCCATTCTTGTTTCTCGAGAGCTCAGTTTCTCGTTCCTGGTTCCCCTCCATGCTTTGCGTTTCCCCTCCCTCCCTTCTCCCAAGTCATGGCTGACAAGGGGTTCCTCCTTCTCCCCTTTCCCATCCCTACTCCAAACACCACAATTCATCAAGCAACTCATAACCAATCAGATGTCAGCATCATATGACGTAATCCTTTTTTTTTGTTTTTATTTTTGTGAGGAAATGATGCAGATTCTAAAATTTGTTTCCTCTCCTCTGAATGCTTCACAAGGCCCCTGAAAAAATGGAAATTCTAAATTCAAAGATTTTTTGTCGGCATTTATGGCAGCATTTTCTCTGCCCTTGCCGCTTTTTCTGGCTCTCTGCACAATGCCAACTGTCCCAATTTTGAAGGATTTCCTGCTCTGAAAGAGTTTTAAATCCTTGTTTCCGTTGCCCCACTTACTTGAAAATTGTCTTTCGATGATGCGTTTGGCCTAACGCAGAAATATCCTTCTGAAGAACTCCTGAATCTTTCCGCACCTCCTTCCCTCAATTTTTGATTCACACTACATCCTTACTTTCTTTCCCACTCTAACTTCTGAAGCCGATTAATATTTTAGTTGCCTGCGTAATCCTTCAAATGGGTTCTTTCATTATTTCACTCAAGTCTTTTTTTGGAGTGGATTCACATTCTAAAGTTCCCTTATCATCCATTGAATTAGGTTCAATCAAATGCTGCTTCGATTTTAAGAATGTAAACAATTCAGTCTGCTTATCGCTGCTTTGATTTTAAGGAAGTAAGAAACTTCCACCTCCATTTTATCACTTTAATGTAGCCAACGAACGTTCCTTTGTAGGATTTTATTCTACAAAAAGTATTGACATTGAAGAAAATTAATGCCCAAAAATGTATGTTGAGAATTCATTCTATTTCCTGTATGGAGCATGGATGAGATTGCACCATTGCAGGCCATAAGAATACAATTAGATTCTGATCCTAGCTTTTTATCACACTTATATCAATTCAGTGGGGGATTTTAATGTTTACATTTTATTCTCTCATGAAATATCTCGAAGTCTGCCACTGCGTGCACCCGCAATTTAGGACCATATTTAGGTTGAGCCTATGTGCACATACCTTGCATAGCATTACACTTCTCAGAAACTTGTAATAGTAAACTTGTAAACAGTGAGTATTTTAACTGAATTTCAATCTTGTGATCCGTTCTGTGAATGAAGTGGTCTCGTTAAATACCTATTTTTGACGTTCTCCATGTATCATGTGTCCTTCGCATTCTCTTGTTCACTCTATAAATTTTCTGACCATTCTGTATTTTTGTTTTTTACAGAAACAAAAATTCACGCACATAGGTGCTAATCACTTAGTATCAATATGTCAAAGGATTGGGCCAATTCTTGACAAAGAAATAAAACCAACTGTCAGTGGTCTGAACTCTCTCCTAGGTGCTGGTAGGCAGTCTTTACTACGAACAGTTCATGATGTTTGCCGGAAGTGGTTTCCAGTTCAAGATTATTCCGTCCGACTTAATTCTAGACCGTTGTGTGAACCTGTTGGCTTTAAATGTCACAACTTAGGTATGTACTCATGATATTTGACTTGCTCAACTACGGATGCTCATCAATCAAGCGCATGAAGAATTTCTTTTAGTCATAGTTTTTTATTCACAGGCCTCATAAAATACTCAAGACCTGCTCTCCTGCGGTCTGGGAATGGTTTCACTCTAATTTGATGTAGTCAATTTTTTTTTTGTTTGAGGTTAGGATTTCACACAACTGTGCTAGGTATCAGGCCTTTATTGCAGGATAATAGATTAAGCATTCCACTTGAATGTATAGGCTGTGATTTCTACAAAATTATTGCAGTTTATCTTGGCTAACTGCAGCTTAAAAAACTAGCAGACCCGTCACTTGGCAGGCACTATGTGATAAGAGAATTGCTTTTAATCTTTTCCTGCTCTCGTCTATTGTTTCTGGCTCGCTGGCTTTGGTAGCATAGATCTTCAGCATCACAGCTAATAATAGTTCAATCTGTTCATTTCACTGTCTCAACATACTATCAGGTGAATGACAAATTTGTAAGATTTTGTAATATTCTTTACAATATCTACCATGTAAAGCTATTAAGATTTGTAAACTGCAATCATCAACAAAAATGACTCGTAATAAAAATTTATCTTCGGTAATTGGTCCGTGCATTTTCTTTTACAGTCAAGGTGTTGCAAGGCAGGGAAAATTCAGGCCCTCTCTCACGGCGGCAAGTAACAATTCCTGCATTCTATTCCAGACTGCAACAACTTTGCTGTACGCTTGGACATCTCTCAGCTGTTTATTGCCTCTTGTTTGACAACACAGGAAATTATGTCATAACAGTGAGTCTTATCTCCTTTCCTTTGCAACCAGTTGCTGTAGAATTACATAATTTGTATTTAACTATTTTTACCATCAGAATATCAATTGAAGGATTTTTCCAATGTACGACAGGAAAGCAAGTTTAAGTACTTAATTATGGTATATATACAGCGAGAGGGGTTGGTTCAATTTTTGACACACAGTTACTTATCCTCTTTTAGAACAAATCTAAAACCCCTCTGCCCTCAAAATACGGAAAGTAGAATGTGAAGCCTAGTGTGGCAAAGGATTTAAAGAAGAAGGCACAAGTCAAGCGTCAATGAGGGAGAGAACTGCCAACAACAATGAAGGCGTTTGCCAAAAGGGCGCGGAACTGGACTGATGATGGTGGGCTATTATGAGTGAATTATTCGAATGGGTTCCATGATTACCAACTAAATTGAGTAACTTTTGATGTTGTTATCATTAAAGGTATAAAAAGGAGTCGCTTATTCTCTGACATCAGCAAGGAAGGAATAAATTTCCATGTTTCAATATTGAAAATTTACTTTTATAAATGAAAATCTGGCTTTTAAGTGCCAAGTTAAGCAAGCACTCAGTCCTAAGGGTCCAATGTCTCATTTTTAGAGACATTTTTCTCATGGTGCTGGGTGAATTTAGAACTCTGCTCAAAGTTATAAGTATCAGGATTCTTACACTATCACAAAAAGTTGCTCAGACTTCATTGAAGTGGGTGATCGAATGATGGATCACTTCTTAGTACATTCAATTTTCACTTTAAAACATGGGATGAAACTCATGCAGTTACTCAGGCTCAGGCAAAAAGAAAATATATACTACAGATTTGGATAATACAGACACTGTTAGTCTCTCATTTGTTCGTAAATTTTATCCAAAATTTTAACTCTAAACCGAACCCCTGGCTCTTTAAAGCCGCTCTGTCTAAAATGGATTTGTCTCATCTTAGGGTGCTGATGACCTGTTGGTGAAGGTTTGGAGTGTGAAAGATGGACGTCTTTTGGCAACATTAAGAGGCGCCTCAACTGAAATTACAGACATTGCTGTAAACACTGAAAACACCTTGCTTGCAGCCGGCAGTGTAGACAAAATTCTCCGAGTATGGTGTCTTCAGACTGGGTATCCTGTAAGTAAACCTATCTCCCCAAAAATAGAGGGGTGTAATGTAGCCATCATTCAGTGGAGGGGCACATGAACCTTGTAATTTTGCTTAAGTCATGCTTTTAAATATGTCATGTGCCAGCCATGCAAAAAATGCTCGGTCTCGTGAGCTGCAGATCGCAGCAAATCTAAGGCAAATCTTGGTCCATGAGGCATTTTTCAAGGAAGATGACCGTTTTTTTCATCAAGGTATAAAAGTGGCATAAATGGTTGGAAAATTCTGCCATAAAGTCAGACATTTTGCCGCAAGGAAAATCAGGAATTAGTTTGTGAGGCAAAAATTCCGCAAATGTCAGTGCTGTGGAATTTCTTGCACCTCTGCCACCTGCTCTGTGCAATGAACTTGGATATTTTTTTTTTTAAACTTAAAATATCATAAAAGCGTTACAAGAGAGAAGGGGGACTTTAAATGCCAAAACAAGGCGTCACTGAATTAATGAACACTCCCTAAGTACTCTAATCTACTGCAGTGTATGTGCATTTTATATTAAGCCTGCATGCACTTATCCACTAAAGTCTACTTTGAGTCAGTGATTCTTATCCTCGCATTTTACCACAGGTTGCTGTTCTAACTGGACACTCGGGGATGATCACAGGTGTCAATTTCTGTCCCACAATCGTGAATGGTGTTCACTATTTAGTTTCTACAAGTACAGATGGATCTGTAGCTTTTTGGAGTTATTCAACAAGTGCTTCAAAAGAAACAACTTTTCTGTGAGTATAATTTTCAAGTTTTTTTCACTCCCTCTTTACTTTATTTTTTGAGTAATAATCACTCTGGTTCAAGAGTGAAACCAGGCACATTTGAAAAAAAAAGGTCTCCAATTTTCTTACTGCCAGAGTATTCAAATTTTCCTCATTTCAAGTTAGCTTTAGTTTGTAGCAGCGTTTCCTAAGTAGAAAATTGAAATTAATGGGAAAATTAGTTCCTATCAGTTACTGATGGTTGTCAGTTTTATACATTTTAATATTATGAATTATTTTTCTGCTCTTTACATTGTTTATTTGAACGAACAGACCTTCCCTATTTTGCAAAGAAGGTGAGATGCTGCCTTCTTGGGGGACTGTTGTTGGGCCATTTTCAACGTCAAAATGAAATCTGAAGGGCTAGAAAATCCTAGTGTTTCTTACCAGGGGTACAGAAAAACCCTGACTGTATGTATCCCCCGATTGAAATCCATGATTCTCCCAAGCTAACTTTTAAGCTTTCTTACTGTTCACAGGCCCAAGCCCATTTTGTACAACGAAAAAATGAGGCCTGGCAATGCTCAAATGATTTGCTCAGGTTTTTCACCTGGTGGAATGTTTTTAGCTGCAGGGAGTGGAGATCACCACGTCCGAATTTACAAAATGGATGAGCCGGAAGGTCCAACACGGTATGATCATTGTCTTCTTTTCTAACCTGGTTTCCACATCAGCTTTGCATGTTTTATGACTCAATCATACATGAATGATTCCTTTTTCATTAACTGGAGCTTAGCTTTTCATAGCTTCAAGCATTCAAGTTTTTTATCATGGAGATCACACCAATATGACACCAATATCATCAATGTGACTTGGAATCACACTTCAGCATACATCTATCTTGAAGGAGTCCTTAAACTCAGAGAGTTAATGGCAGTATGATTGGCTATGATGAAGTTCAAGTATAAAATAATTCTATGTTCAAAATTAAAAGTTAAAAGCGCCTATTGCCCAAAAAATGAACTCAAATCCCATTAATGTGTTTTTCATAATTTAATACAAAATGTGTCTCATATGCGCATGGATTGGTGCAATTAGTCCAACATTAAGCCAGCTGTCCTTTGTCTATCTCAGAATTTCTATTTATTCTCTCCTAATTCATTCTTCTTCTTCTTCTCATCGTAGAGTTCTGGAAATCGAAGCTCACTCAGATCGTGTGGACAGTATACAGTGGGCTCATTCACACCTTAGGTTTATTTCTGGCTCCAAAGACGGTACCGCTAACATTTGGTACTATTCACGACAACAGTGGAAGAATATTCAGCTGATGATGAACAAAAAATTATCTGGGTAAGTGAAATTCCTGATTTTCTTGCTCTCAGGAGTCATGTCAAGTAACAGGGCAGTTGTTTACTTTCTGTTGCAAATGGCTGAGCTATCATCGCTCATTAGTGACCTAGGATTGATAGAGAGCAACAATGTTGCTTTACACAAGTGTGTCAATCTATTGAATGCTCATAAAGGTCTTATGTAAACAACTGTCAACTTATCTTACATTTATTGGAATTAAATTCAGTCCGTCATTAGTTAGATAATCGTTTAAAAACGGAAAGAAATGAGGAAGAAAAAATTCAATTTCTCACCTATCCTTAAAAACTCAATTTTACAATTAACCAAAGATCCATGTTCTAGATGAGCCTATCTTTTCATCTACTTGTGCAGGTAGCATTTTGGTATTTGTGAAAGCGAATAAAAAAGAGAGCTTATTTGAGTCTAATTTAATTCAAAATTGATAACCTCTTAATTTATTTAACCCATGAGCAAGTATTTTCTTGATCACCATGTGTGATTTTTAGAATGACTGCTCTTGATTTGTCAGAGCCTTTCAATGAACAGAACTAAAATAACAAAATGCTGATAAATATCATGTGTCAATTAATTCTATTTATTTCTATTATTTATTTTCCAGCGAATCTGAAGATGACGCAAAACTCATTAAGTTCCTAAGAGTGACCATGGTAAGCTGGGATGTGTCTGACAAATGGGTTATAACGGCAGTTGCTGACCATACGCTCAAAATTTGGAATTCCTTCACGGGTGATTTAATTCAAGTGCTCAAAGGACATTCCGATGAAGTTTATTGTGTCGAATCTCATCCGCATGATTCGAGAGTAAGTGATAACAACTTTCATTTGTATTATTAAACATTGTCGTACAGTAGAACTTTGCCAAGTTATTTCCTGCGAGAGTCAGAAGCCGGCTTAAGTTGTCAAAATGGCCCGGTTCCACTTTTCGCCACTATTGGAAAGGTTGATTAACTCATATTAGTGCTTTTCAAGGCCTCTATTTACCCTTTTTTTGAAATATTTTGAAGAAAAATGAATCTCCTCAAAAAATATGAATTTTCGGAAGGCAACAATATCATTTTTACCATTTCTTCTTTTCATTAGAGTTAATAAAATTTAGCTCAAAGGAGCAAATCTTCACAACGATTCCGAACCTTTCTTGCACAAAAATGTTCAGTCAATAATGAAACTTATATTTTTTTTTCAGTTACTCCTAAGTGCCGGTCATGATGGTCAGTTATTCCTTTGGGACATTTTAACCGGTGAAAAAATAAGTCATTTCCAAAATGCAATAGAAGGACAGGGCTTTGGAGCAATATTTGATGCTAAATGGTCACCAAATGGGACTATGATGGCTGCAACCGACTCCCATGGCCAAATTTTAATGTACGCTCTAAGCGTTAGTGATTCTGAAAGACAGGTACAGTTCATTCTAATCTCTATGTACAATTATCCTCTCTACAACTATCGTAACTATGTGATTATCACACTGCATGACACCCGCTACCTATCTGGTGTGTAAGTAAAGGTCTAGGAATTTTTAATTTTTTTGGAGACTCGCATCTTTTTTAAAATGCCAATCTTGTACAGAAAATTTTCAGGAGACGGACTATAAAATAATTGTATTTGTACATCTATTTTTCCCAAATCAGGTTTGTCAGGAGTGCGACTAACAGTCAGAGAATACCGGAAAAACCAGGAATTGGCAGGGAACCCCAAAAAACCAGGGAAAACCTGGAAATGTGGGGGAAAATGACAGAAGTGTCTGGAAAAATTGTTGTGTCACCTTTATTCACTATCTGGAATGGGTTTGACGTTTTGAACAACAAATTTTACACAACTATTTCAAATTATGTCTTTAATAATTATCTGGCGTTTCCCCCACAAGTCAGGGAATTTCATCAAAATGTGTCAGGAAATCAATGGAAATGTCAGGGAATTTCATTTTCTGAATTCAGTGGCACCTATGGTTTGTACCTGCAGTTGTTTATTGTGTAATGTAACATCATGACATTAACTCCATCCTTTCCTGTTATTTTTAGGTACCTCGAGAGTTGTTCTTTCACACTGATTACCGACCCTTGATCCGTGATGCACAGCACAACGTTCTTGACGAACAAACCAACATAGCGCCGCACCTAATGGCACCTCCGTTTTTAGTAGACATAGAAGGCAACCCGTACCCTCCGTGGCTACAAAGGCTTGTTCCCGGCAGAGAACTTTGCACTGCTGATCAGCTCATTCCCAACATAATTTTCAATGCCTCTGGTAAGTCTGGCTGCTTTCTGCTCACAATTGTCAGTGATTATCTCCCAATCAGAAGTGAATTGAATTACATCATGCTAAAATGGGCCTGTTCCAAACTTTTGCTAGAGCAAAACTAAGAGTTGTTTCTTATAGATAATGCCTCAAAAATCTTGATGAGCGCATTGGCAAAGTCTGAAATGCACTCATAAATTCACAATCTGCGTAAGAAATTTGCGGTTTTTTGAGCTTCCTGCTTCAAAAACGATACTACAGCACAGGTGAACATTTTGTTAGAGGAGTGGTTCCATCGTCGGCATTATTTATCATGGCTGATGCCAATTTGCCAAAACACGTGTGATGGGATGAGATAACACCTGAACAGGATTAGACTAGATAACAATCGGTGTGTTTACGTTCATATTTTCCTTGCGCCTTGATTGACCTTGAACTCTCCTCAAATTACGCGTGGAACTGCGGAAGCGTCGATGGAGCGACTCCTCTAACAAAATGTTCACCTGTGTCATAGTATCATTTTTGAGGCGGGAGGCTCAAAAAAACGCAAATTTCTTATGCAGATTGTGAAGTTGTGAGTGCATTTCAGACTTTGCCGATGCGCCAATCATGATTTCTGAGGCATCATCTATAAGAAACAACTCTTCTATGAGAAACAACTCTTATTTTTGCTCTAGCAAAAGTTTGCAACAGGTGCATTACTGTAATTTAGTAGTTGGGTTTTTGTATTTTTTGTTCTTGGATACTCAGAATGAGCTGCCCTCTTGTCATAGTCCTGTTCGAGAATCAGGTGTGGTTACTTAATTTTTAACCGCACAATGAGAAAAAAATAATGAATCACTGTACAAAATAAGTCTTAGGATGGTGGCACCTCTCACATAAATATTGACAAGAACAAGATCTACTGTAAATGTTGCAAACATGGATGTTGATTAGACCGATGTCCTGAAACTGTTGCTTTAGGTCAATAGATTGATGTTGATTTTTTTGCAGTTCAAAATTTGAGATCTTTATTCTTTCTCCGTTGACAGTAAGCTTTGAAGTTAATTTTTGTCAGTACTCTTCAAATATCTTCTGATCATTGTATATTACAATTTCTTCCCATTTTACTCATTCACTTCTATTGTGCTTGTCACTTCAGGTCAGCAAGAAGTAATTGAAGGCTTGCATGAACCGCAACAAAATCTAGATCGAATTATTCAAGTTTTAGATGCCCGAATCCAGAATTTGGAACAAGGCGCCAGGTCGAGAATCTCTCCAACTCCTCGTGTTCGTAAGTGTCCATGTACTTCAGCTAAATTTATTATGATAAATTAGTAGAAACCACCGCATGAGAGTAGTTACGAACAACAAGCGCCTTTTGGCTGAAGAAAAGTAGAAGATTACAGGCCATTCCGCTACTGGGAAAGGGGGTCTGGGATGTAGTAAAATATCATGCATGTTTGTGTTGAAACTGCAGTAATGCGTCATCTGTTTTTTAAATAAGCTTTCTTTCAGCTTCCGTAAGTGAAAAATCATGCAAAGAAAATAATTTTAGGGCAAGTAACACACGATGTTGTAACAATAAACCAAGCATTTTCTCTCATTAGTATTTTTAACTGTTGGCCTGTATAAGAGTCAATTTTTTTGCAAGAAAATTATTTTAGTACACACCTCATTTAAGAAAAAAAAATCTTATTCTTTCTGTCATATTTATGTAAGGATGCAGTTACTCCGTACTTGCTAAACTTTGTCGAGTTGGCTAAGCAACCTTGCGAAAATTTCAAAATTTCAATGTGGAAGTAAATTTTCTTTAGCAGGTAATTTCAAAAGTTTTGAGGTTTTATGTCCTTAGAGGGAAGATTTGAGTGAAAAATTCTGTTGTATGAAGAGAATTTCCGGATGAATTTGATGGTGCCCTGCATTGAAAAAACGGGAGGTCTGCTTGCTTTCAGTGGCTGGCAGAATTTTACATTAATTTTTATGGAAAACTCCCCTAGAACAGTAGTGATTTCTAATGTGCCTTATCTAATGTTTTCTTTTCGGCAGATCAAGGTCCAAGGCGATCTGGGGACATAGAGGGTGTGCGACAGTCGTCCGGTAACTGGCAGCAGAAGGGTTTCCATTGGTCTCAACGACAGCTTTGTGAGCCGCTAGATCCAGCATCTCTCAAACAGAAGTCTGAAAGGATGTAAGTTGCAGTTTCATCATCTCCTTGATTATTTCGATCTTTTTTCACCAATTGGACGAATTCAAGTGTAATCTGCCTAACTGCATCATATGCTGCCTAATTTTCTCTCGTGGATTTTTTTTTTTACTATGTAATGCCTTTGAATATTCTGTGACTTTACTCTTGATTATGAAGAATTAATGTACACAATTTCAAGTTTCAGTGTTACTCAGTTTTCTGCTTTAAAAAATAAAACATCGAAGAAAGAAGGCAACATTCGATGCAGCTAGAATTGATTCTGGTAGAATACGTCCAATTGTCCTGAGTCAGTTCAGGCACTTTGCCGTCAGTTCGCTGAAAGAGAGAAATTATAACCTTGTCTGAGAGCTTCCCCTCTCTTTTGCCCTGAACTTATTACTTTCAAAGCAGTGGCGTGGCGTGAATTACGATATATTGATTGTTATGCCATTTAAACCTATGGAAAAGGATCGATAAATAGGGTGTTCACAGCAAACACCTTAATAATCGATTCTTTACCACAGGTTTAAATGGCATAACAATCGATATATCGCAATTCACGCCACGCCACTGTTTCAAAGGTGAAGGAGTTTAGCTTCAAATTATGCCTACAGCTTGTGAATTTAACTTTTTCATGTAATTAATATGAGCCAGAACTTCCATCTTCAAAATGTGTTGAGACCCCGATGTCTTTATAATGTTTCCCTCACTTACAGACAGTATTTTGGTTGTTTAGTTTCCTACTTTTCTGGATCACGAGAGTTTAGAAATGAATTTCGGAATTTTAAATTGACAGCCTTTATCAATCCTACTCGTTGAGTTCTTCCATCTGTGTAAGATTCAGATTTATGGAACACTATAAACTTCATCTTTTCCATTACACTTACGTATTTTATTTCTCGTATGAATAGTCCTACCTAGATCAGAATTACGGTTCGATGTTGTTTTTATATTATTTTCCATTTTTCAGACGATTTTATGCTGGCCTAGAATTGGATCAATATAGGCGAGAATCAAAGCGCCCACCAGAAGTTGTCACCCCTGTGCAACCTGTATTAGTGAAGAAACGCGTGAAGAGAAATCATAACTATCGAACTCGAGCAGCGCATGAAGAGCAGCTCAGTAGTCAGTTTGAGGTATGTATGCAACCATTAATACATAAACTCTGTACATATATTTTAAAAAAAAATAAACAATTACTTCATTACTTAAGTATCTTCAAACTCTTAAAAATATTCTATGCTTAGAATCCTTTTCCATTTGAGCATTTTTGATCAACAATTTTAATTCTGATTTTTTTGATCAGACTTGATCAAAATCTCCTCTGATTTTCCGCTTTATGTTGTACACAGTCTTATCATTAAAATCCAACTCTTTCTTGAGGTGGCAGTTTAAGCAGTCCATAAAAATGTACAAAATAAGTAAAAAGTATGTAATTGAATCTTTTTTCAAAGGATCCCTCGAATCTCAATCTTGGCGGCAGTGACTCAGGGAATGATAGTGCTCAAATTATTTCATCCGCCTATGAATCCGAAGATAACGATTCAGGATCATCCTCAGACTCCTCCAGTTCTTCCGTGTATTCAGACTGGATAGCAGATAATCAAATCAACTTGGAGCCTCCAAAGCGGTCTCGTCAGAGGAGGCCTCCACCCAAGAAAAAGAAAGCAGAAACAATGCCACCAATCGTCAAAAATCAACTGCCGCAGGTTTGTAATCAACCTTCATGAAAGTTTTGCTGAAGATTCTAAATTTTATTTTATTTTCGTACTTTTCATGTTAGAATTTCAGTAGTAGGAGGTTCTTCCTCATAGCTTGTTAATTCATTATCAACACTAACTTCTCAACATCCTACTGGACATTATTTATACTCGCGACCTAGCATTGTCAAATCTCATGACTGATCTGCATCGGCAAGGCTGCCACTGTCAGGGAATACCAGAAGATAGGGAATTTTAAGATGTCTGGGAAAACTTGAAAATGTTAGGGAAACATGATGAAAGTGTCAGGAAAACATTTTTCAAGTTACCTATATTTGCTTCTTAGAATGGTTTCGACTTTTTGAATAACTTATTTTGCAAGAAAACCATTCGAAATCATGCCTTTTAAACCATCTGGCATATCTTTAATTGTCAGGAAATTTTACCAAAATTTGATGGTACAGTGAAACCTCGCTAAGTCGGTTTCCGGATAAGCCGGTAACCCGCTTTAGTCGGTAGAATCGCCCGGTCCCGTTTATCACCCATATAACACAATGCTAAATAAGTCTCGGTATCTCGGTTTGGTCAGATTCTGAACCCGCTTAACTCGGTGAAATTTTTCCATCTCGACCTGTTTTTCTTCGATCGTCACCCGTGATCAAGCGTAGGTAGTGTTTCCGTGCGCGGTGCGGGTCGGGTCAAGTTACGCCAAGAAGGGTGAGCGAATCTCCGAGAAAGCGCAGCGCAGTGCGAGAAACGACATCGGAAATAGAGAGATAAGGAATCAAAAACACTCGATAACGACACGAAAGATGAGAACAGTAGAGAACAAGATATCTGATACCGCGTGTTATCTTATCGCGCGTGTGAAAACACGCATGCATAATTAAGCAATTTCACGCATCGATGAGTTGACAGGTCAAGTCGGCACCGGCCCCTCTCCCCCTACCATCTTGCATTGCCCTTCCCCGCTCCCCCCAGGAATCTTCCGCAGAGTTTTTCGGAGATTTTAGCGAGTATTGATACGTTGCATTTTCAGTTCAACGACCCGCCATAGCGGGTGGCCGCGGCGCATCACCGCGCGGCATGCCGCGTGGGGTGCGCGGGGGGTGATACGCAATGGGGTGCCGCGGCACCCCAACATACGATTAACCCGATGACTTCATGATGCCCTGACACTTACAACACGCAATTTCAAGTGCATCTCATGAAATTTTACTCTTTAGTACCATTTTCTTCGATCAAATGGCTCTCCTAAACACTCCTACAAGTCACTCTACACGCACGTTTGCGTTTGTCCAATTTAGGGCGCGAAATTTGAAAAAGCGCGGCAGGAAAAGTGGCAGTCCGCGTAAGTCGGTAACCCGCTTAACTCGGTAAATTTCCTCGGTCCCGATGAAAACCGACTTAGCGAGGTTTCACTGTAAAAGCAGAGAAATATCAGCAAATTTCATTTTCTAAAATTCTGTGACAACCCTGCATTGGAGTTTTTAACTTGTTAATTAATTTCAAATCTCTAGTTTTTCACCTGATGCGTTACTTGGAAGCAGAGTTAATGGGACTCAAAATAATATTTTTGTTTTTTTCCTTTATTATATTATAGGAAGTTCCAGAAATTTTCCGTCCTCCAGAATGGTTATCAGAAGTTATTCCTAAAAAATCACCTTACTATCCGCAAATGGGTGACGAACTGGTGTTTTTCAAACAAGGGTACCTGCTGTATCTTGAAGCTGTCAAGGTCAAGAATGTATATCCTGTGAACGATCGAATGGCGAATCCCTGGGGGAAATTACAGATGAAGGTAATAATACTTTTTCACATCCAAAATTATTAAGGAGAAAAGAAAAAAAGTGATTTGCAGAAATGATTTTACCAGTTCTGACAGTAATTTTCTCCCTGATATGCTGCTTACAATTCATTGCTCATGTAGTTAATTCAGGCAAAGCGGAGTTGGATACATTTGTCAACTGTTGTCATTTAAAGTTGACAAACTAATGGTGTACTCATTATGACGGCACGGTAACTTTAGTCAAAATTTATTTTTGATCCTGACTGGTGTGTCCTTTAGTATCTAATCAAAGTCTGCTGTTATATGCTTATTTTTCTGGCATATTGGGAACAAACTCATCAAAGCCTACGACCTCAGAACTTATTTAAATTTGGTACCTCTATTGTTGAATAAAACTGAAGTATGGAAAAACCTTACAATTTTCAGCGGAGGGGTGAAAATGTTAAGGCATAAACTTGCCAGCTTGTTTTTCTAAATGACTCTCTCTTCTATTGATGCTAAATTTTTTAATTATCGAGCTACCTATTAGCTACATTTCATCATTCATCAGTGCATTCATTAGTATTTCATTTGTATTTTAGCTTAAATGTTTTGTTTCATCCTTCTTGCAGGAACCTGAACTAGTGAAAGTAGTCGGAATCAGGTATGAAATTAAACCTCCGCGGCTGTGTTGCCTCCGATTTGCGATTATGAAACAGAATGGGCGCTTAACCAATGACATGTTTACCATTAAATACCATGATATGCCTGATGTGATAGACTTTTTAGTCCTCCGGCAAACATATGATACTGCTCTTGCCAGGCAGTGGAAAGTTGGTAAGTTATCTGAAATTGCCCATTTTTTTTTAAAAGTTAAATGCAAAGTATTTTCTTTTGGAAAGTATTTTTGTTTTGTGTCAATATGATTGCCTCTGTTTGACGAAAGATTAATGTATCAGCAGCTTGCGAAAAAAGGGAGAAAAATAAAGTAAACTTACAAAGTGTCAATTGATAGAAAATGGTAAATAATCGAGTATTAAGTTGTTTTTTATTTTGAGTTACTATCACATTTTGATTTTTTCTTATGGAAGTGTTCTAATCATATAATTTTTTTTGCTTTCAATAGGTGATAGATTCCGAAGTATGATTGATGACGCCTGGTGGTGGGGAACCATAGAATCTAGGCGTACCGACCAAAATCGACTGAATTCGCCTTTCCTCTGTTTCCGTGTTCTTTGGGACAACAATGAGCGTGAAAATTTGAGTCCATGGGACTTGGAACCCTGTGATCCAGACTGTACGTAACAAAATCCTTGTTTCTATTATCAAACTGTTGTCTCTTTTTTTCATGTCAAAGGATGAGCCTTAGTCTTTGATTTTTGAGAATTTTATGTATTGCGGAAGATACGTACTATTTGTTAGTTTTTTTTTTTTTCGTTCTTTATTATCTCACAGTAGCCCAAGACTGCAAGCTTTTTGTCAAGAAAAACGTTCTTTGGTGAATTTATGGTATAATTTCCACCAAGAATTTGAGATGGCCTCAACAGACTGAAGAAGAGTTTTATATCTGAAGTCAAATGCTCTTTTTTTTTTTTTCCAATGAGAAAAATTTCTTTCAGAGGCAATTTAGTTTTGAAGCGAGAAAGGGAATATGATGATCTCCCCTACCTGCAGCTAAAATTCAACTGAGATAGCTCAAATTTCGAAACTTTTTTGCCAAATCTCAGGGCATTTGCCTTTGAAAAACTTGTAGAAGAGACCTGCTTGTGTTGAAGCTAACACGGGTTAATGGTATCTTTAATCTGTTGAATAAAGGCAAAAAAATCTAGTTGAACAAACCGACAAATGGAGCGGGCAAAATTGGATTGTTTTCTCATTTATTTTTACACAGCATAAGAATTGCAATCATTAGAAGCTGAAGATACCACATTATCTAAGTAGGTAAGTAAGGGCTGGGCTTACCGGCGAGACGTCCTCAAGGGGCCAAAGCAACTGGCTACTGCCGTGATGTACCCCGAAGTTGGACTGTGCTTCTTAACTTTGTACTATTGATGCATTATATTATCAAAGTAATATACTATGCAAGGAATTCTGCTAAAAAAAATAACTCAATTACGTATTTATTTTTGGTGTGCAATGTGAAAAATTTCAAGGACATTCTCTTTTTAACTTATAATTGTCCTAGAAGTATCACATTCATTTATGATTTATGCATTTATTCATTTCTTCGTTTTTGCACAGGTGAGCCTGACGAACGCGGAGGTTCAGCGCCAGTCTTACCAGAAGAAATCGAGGCAATCTTGTACCATCCCCGTCCGACTGAGTGGCCTCATGGTGACAGGGAGGGAGCTTGTCAACGCATCCTTCACGGGCTCAACCAAGTGATGACCATGTCGATAGCTGAACCATTTTTAGTGCCTGTCGATATCAGTCAATATCCTACTTACGCGTATATTGTCGAGTATCCTCTAGATCTTTCAACAATCAAAGTAAGTTTCTCTTGGGAGCGGGAAATTATATTTTTCATAATTAGTCCTTAATGATAACATAAAATCTTAATATTGAGTTAAATATAGTAATTTTTGTGGTGCTTATCAAGCTCTCCATGAAATTTTGAAGAGGAAGTACAAATCAGAATGCTTACAGTCATATCTTATCTAGTGGTCCATTTCGAAACGAGTTCCATTAAGAAATTGCGCGGCTCTTTTTTCAAATTCTTCTAGATAAAAATTCACAAATTTTTCAAAGGAAAACATTTCTCTTCCATTGTGACTTTATGTGATCCATTTTTTTTCAAATTTTAATTTGTACGTCGCAAATTTTCTTTCAGGCAAGGTTTGAGAACCAGTTTTACCGGAGAGTAACAGCAGCACAATTTGATGTTCGGTATCTAGCGACTAATGCTGAAAAATTCAACGAGCCTCACAGTACTATTGTCAAGAATGCCAGAATAATAACAGACATCTGTCTTAGGATAATCAAGTTAGTATGGTTGCTCACTCAGCCGGTGATTTATTTTTTTTCTATTTTCTAATTTTTTTAGTATTCTCACAGCAATAAAAAAAATTACCGTAACACACTATGAGTGAATTATTGTGTTGCAATTTTGCATCAATACTTTAATTTTGCATTCTTTATCATCAAGATTACTTTTTAATTTTGGCTTTAATAATACATGAGCGGTTTAAATTTTGAAAAGCAAAAAGTAGCCCTTTTAAGATCAGCAGGCTTAAATTTTGTTTGTTTGTATTCTTAGTGATTTCCGCTGTCAGAAAAACACTTTTTCATTTGATTTCATCAATAATTAAAGGCTGGGTAAATGAACTCCCAGGAAGGTTCTTCTACCGCTAGCTTTCCGATCAACTTCAATTTCTTATGTAAAATTCTTCTTTTGATTCATTAGGGAATTAGTGGAAGTTGACGTACCTTCTCTCTACCGCCAATTACAAGAATCGTATCATTCGTCAGACTCGGAGGACGAAAAAGTTACGTTAACCTCAACTAGATTAAGACCTAGCACATCAGCATCTCGACATTCAGTTCGGCGAAGGAATGGATTGAGGCAGCCTTTCGAGTGGAGGAAAGAGTGCAAAATTTTACTCGAGAAATTATGGGCTTCTAAAGACAGTGAACCTTTCAGGTTGGTGTTAACTATTTAGTTCATTTTTGTAGGTAATTTCTAATCGAGTGGCTCATCATCTTTGTGATAATCTGAAATTGTTAATTCTAGTCTTGTTTAACTATTTGTCCAATTAAAAACCACATGCATCAAGTATGAAAACATGTAGAAGAATGTTAATTCTTACTTCTCTCCATAGACATAATTGATTGGAAGAATATTTACCTCAATTTCAAAAATGGGCTAGTTGCGCTGGTCACAGAATCGTTTTTTGATGCTTGATTCTTGTAGATTAGCTATAAATAATGAGATCTGTCCAAACCGCAAATTTCTACGTTCAATATTAACCAAGATATCACCCTTTGAAAAGTCGGGTTTTTGACATCATCCACCGCGGTAGGGACACCTGTTGTTTCTTCCACCTTGCTTTCATCGGTCAGTGACGCACTGGTTACTCAACATGAAACTTGGATGAAAGCAAGGTGGAAGAAACCAAGGGTGTCACTACTGCGGTGGATGTCGTCACAAATCTGACTTTTCAAGTGGCGATATCTCAGTCAATATTGAACGTAGAAACTTGCAGTTTGGACGGATCTTTTTATTTTCAGCTGATCTAAAAAAATCAAGCATCAGAACACGATTCTGTGACCAGCGCAACTGACCCATTAGTACACCTAGTTAAGAATAATTGTACTGTTTGTGCCAAATATTAATGAAAGTTTATTCCAATACATGATTCATTAATGCTGTAAATAACTCTGGGCAGTCACATGTACAGAATGTATTTAGTTTCCTTTTATTTTTTGACAACATAGAATTAAGTTTTACAGCACATGTTACATCAACGTTTCTTTCAGAAAATGTTAAATATTTTGAAAACCTGCAAAATCAACTCGTAAGTGAGAAATGAACTTTCGTAATTTAAATTATAAACAGCAAATTCGAACTTACCTTTTTTTTCTTCCTGTAATTTTTATTTTATTTTTATTTACAGAGAGCCAGTGGATCGGCTTGTGCATCCAGACTATGATAAAATCATTAATACCCCAATGGACCTGGGTACAGTTAGGGATGAACTGAGTGTAGGGAATTATGAGAATCCTAATGAATTTTGTAAAGACATAAGACGAATTTTTGAAAATGCTAAAAGCTACACTCCTGACAAGCACACCAAAGTAAGTTTTCATTTTATAGTTCATATTTTTTTTAAAAATAGAAATCATCAGAATCAACTTATTGTGAAATGCTGCTCTGATTTACTGTTCGCATTTCAGAAATGAAAGCTCAGATTTTTCTCAGTTATATCCGCCACAATTACCCTTTTGGCCTTTGAACAGAGTTTATAGTAATTCACTGATTTCAGATCGTCACATTCTCTAAAATAAGTCTGTACGAGCAAGGTCTTTTTTAGTTTGAGTTTTTTTTCATTTTTTCAAGTTGAATTTAAGATTTTAAAATGTTGAATGGAGTTGGTGAGATCCGACTTGCTTCAAAATTCAAACACTCTTACAGCCCTACTTTGAATCTCAGATTTGTGATTCTTTTGTGTCAATGCTTTTTTGCAGTTGTCTTTTTTGATAAGAAATTTTTTTCTATTTCGTCCAAATGTTCCTAGAATGCCTCCTTTGCATTCTTGTCATCTTTTGCCAGAAATCAAAACATGCCCACCAGACATAGATTTTTGTGAATTCCATTCCAAGACTTGATCAGGCCTTCTAAATGTTTTTGTTCCACCTTTCAGATTTATTCCATGACCGTCCGATTATCTGCGTTAGCTGAGGAACATCTGAAACGGATAACAAACTGCTGGAAGAATCAGCAGCATACTAGATCAAGAACAAGGCTAAATGGTGCTGGTATGTATTCGTGTTTCTGTTTGTTATCAGGTCAAAAATTAGTTTACTGAAAAGAATGTTTATTGCACAATATCAATGAGAAACTCAGTATTTAGAATTAGTGATGTCCTAAAGAATCTATGAGTCCTGGGGGAACTTGCGTCCAGGATTATAACAAAATGGCCTCTACACATCATCAAATTCAAAACGATTTGATCACGGGAGATCTACCAAGTTCTTCTAATAATGCTGCCAAAAATTTGAGGGAAAGGTCTCTTCTTATGTTAATTTAAAACGCAGTAGGAAGTTATCTTATCTGCAATGGTAAGAAAGTTTCTAGCTGCTAGTAGGTTGTACTTATGAACTGTTATACTCCATGAATGGCGAAAAAACTTGGAACAAATGAGACACTCCTTCCTCACAGTCAAAATTTTCACTCTAAGTATTGACTGATGTGTCATTTGCACTTTATTATCTTTTTTCAGTTAATTCACAAGCTCGATCGTCCAGAAGAATCATCAATAGTAGAAAGAGATCAACAACAAGCCCTCAACCTGGCACAAGTAGAGGTGAGTTAGCTGAACACTGAAGTGATGTTTGAAATATGATACATGTACCTCATAGACTGATATAGTATCTACGTTCTTGTTTTATATTGCAGTCTTGATGGTTCAAATGTAAACAGATATGCACGTAAGCTTGTCATAGTACGTTTGTAGGTTTAACCTGTAAGCAGTGAGCTTCAATCATAGAGAGAGCTGACCAAAAGACGGTTTCATGTTAAAATTTTACTCAGTGTGCACGAATTAAGTAAATCATAGATTTATATTTTTAATACTCAAAAAATAACTCTTAAATTGTGAGCTCTTCGTAAATTGGATTACATTTTGCATCAAGGAACCGCTAATATTTGCTCATTCGGGAAAAAGCATATGTGCCATTAGTTTTCCTGCCCAGATAGGTACTCTTTTCATTCAGCTCGAAGTAGTAGTTCCTCTTCACATAATATAGTCCAATTGGCTTTCTTTTTATTGAATTTGTATTTTAATTATGTTTTTAGCCAATTATAAATTAAGGCTTGAATTGTGTTTGGAACTCATTTTGAGTAACCCTTTTTTTCTGCCTTTTTGCAGATGTTCCAAATCCATTAGATTGTGAACCAACCTCATCTGGCATCAGAGTATTAAGGCCAAAACGTGTTGTCAAACAAGACAGTGATGACAGTAACACCTCAGGGAGCAGTGATAGTTCAGGGAGTGGAAGTGATAGTGATAGTGAGAGCGAGAGTTCAGCCAGTGATAGCGAAGAAAAATCCAGCTCTAATCAACCGAAAAACAAAATAATTCCTCAGAAAGGACGCAAACGGCTCAAATCCTCCAGCCCTGAGGAAGTACACCAAAATCACGAAGCAGACTCATCTCGTGTTCGGACCAGAGGCGTGAGGCAAAACTATGCTGTCATGATGAAATCGGAAGAAAGCGACGTCAGTGATGAAGTGATCACAGTCAACAAAAGACAACCGCCCAAAAAACATTCGCCCCTTAAAAGCTCCAATTCAAAAGCAGCAACATCTCTTAGAGCCGTGCGCAGGGTGCGGAACTGCAGTAGCGAAAACTCGATGAACTCGATCTCCAATAGTGGAACTAGTGAAAGTGCGTCACAACTCACCTTCCAAGGCAGTTTAGAATCTAATTCACGAACTAGAACGCCTCAGAAACGGAAACGGAGAAAGATTTTAATTTCAGATAGTGATGATAGTGAGCCTAGCAGTCGGAGGCCTCAACGAGGCAAGAGGAAAAATTATGATGAACATAGTGATGCTAGTAGTACTGCTGAAAGAAACGGTCACTCGGACAGTGACGAGAATCAGCCAGCAATTTCAATGAGTAGCCGGGGTCGCGTACGCAAACTGACGGCTAAAGCAAGAGCCTGTTTTCGCGACAGATAGAGTTTGATACCCCCTTCCCCGCCTTCGCCCTCAGATGAAATCATAGTAGGGCTCCCCCTTGATAGTTTCCCACAACTCGAAGACTGATTTTTTTCATTTCTTATTAGTAATGTTTAAAATTTTTATGTGAGGTTGATTCAGTATTTTAGGAAGTGTACTCTTTCATTAGCATATCAATATCATTACTTCTGATTTTGTTTTATCATGTAAAGGCATCATGCGATTTGACAGTTCTTCTCAGATGATCTTGTCACAAGTAAATCCATGATTTTCTACCTGAAGTAATGTAGGGACCAAAAGTGTCCTTTGGTTTAGAACAAGGTTTTTTTCTGAAAACTAAGTGTAAAAAATATATTTGGAAGGGATTTAAAACGCCTGTTGAAGCTGTTCAATTTCGGAATGAGAAGCAATGCACGCTAGATAAATTTTCAATGAAAATGTAGAAGCAGAATCTCTGTTTTTACTGGAAATGAAAAAGATTCCTGTAATATAGTTCTCATCAACATATCCGACAAGCTGAAAACTCAGGTAAGCCCTCGCATAGGTAGCCATTTTATTTAAATTTTTTAATTAATGGAAGGTACACATTTTCAATAAATGCTGAATTTTCCTAACAGAGTCTATTTCAAACCATTCAAGTTTTTAAATTTAACAGCGTAATCTGGAATTGTCATACGTTAAGTGTGGGCATGGAAATGCTCATGGTATGGTTGTATGAGGTTAGAGAAATCTTTAAAAACGGGTAGTAACAATCAGTCTGTTATTTTTAATGAACTCGCGGGAAAGGGGGAGGGGGTATCAACCTGAAATAAAATTGTAAATCCCTGTTAAAAACTTTCGACAATCATTTGTTTTCCTGTCCCAGCTATTCCCAAAATAAATGATTTTGTCCAAATAGAAGTTTCCGCGAGTCTCCGTTTTCAAAGATTACTCTAAAAGGAGTAGTGCTAGCAATGCATTGCATGCTATCATGCGTTTCCTGATAATAATCATCTCAGAAAAGTTTATTCCCTACGGCAATAGCCAGGGGGAATTTATTTGATCTGTGTAATCATGATTTTCTCGGCCTCAATTGATGGTTTGAATTAGACTCAACCATGTACAATCTATGCCTAAAAGATGAAAGGCCATAACTACATCACTCCTTTGTCACCATGTTAGTGATCAAAATTATAAATGAAAAAATAATGCTATATTTAACTTATCCCCAATGCGTCAACATATAGAAAACTGAGAAGTTAAGTGAGTTTTAAAATTACCTTAAAAGATACACCTTTTTTTCAAGTCTGTGTGTGTGTAGTGACAGATCATTGATATAAGTAGGTGGAGATTTTTATTGTTATTTCTGTCGAAGCAAATTTGAAAAAGCACAGGATTTGTTTATTCTGTAGTCTGTAATGACCCTGAGGGGACATGAAATATCTGTTTTGCCTCCCCTTGAAAAATTATCAATGAGCAAGTAAACATGCGCCATTCTCTCTCATCTGAAGCCATGGCGAAGCGACGGCGAGTTTCATCCACTGGCAAGATGTACCCTGCAGATAGTTATGGTCCCTCCTTTCTTCTAGGCAATGATTTAATCTCTGCTAAGTATTCTCCTTTTTTACTCGCTTATGTAAAAGCTGTGATGATGATTTAAAAAATTTGATCGTTGAAATGTTGAAGCGCAGTAGTATTAAGGTCTGTTTTATATCAATCGCTATTTTTTTGTTCACGATTGTTCCAAGTATCTTTAGCATGACCTTCTTGTACTTTAACCTTTTATACTTGAATAATCGTCAAAGCAAATGTTTGAAGTAAACTTTTTAGACCATTTTCTTAACTTTCAATGATTTTCCTCCTCATTGTTTTTCTAAGCTCTCTCAAAGACTGTAACAAGTGACTGTCGATACAAGCGGACAAACAACTACATTTTTTTATTTTCATCAGTTTCTTATCCAATACGTACATTTTAAGAATATTAATTTTTTAACTTGCCTTTTGAAAGTTAACAAAGAACAATATTTAGCAACCAAGTTAAATTTTTCTAAGAGACAAACCTTCACGACCAAAGAACAACTTCTCAGTCAGTTGAAAGTGAATTTATTTTCTGTATGATTTGAAAAAAAACCCATCAATGTAACATATCCTGCTGGATAGCGTTTGGTTGTTCAATCAATAATAATCATTCTGTATTTTTAAATCATGCTTCAATTTGAAATGTTTAGGAGAAAAAAAATGCATCCTCATTTTCTGTTCTTACCTTATCATGCCTATTTTCTTTTTTACGAGGAGGTACTCATAAATTTTGGGTCTCTGTGTGGGTATATTCGTGATCAGATAAGCTTGCTGAACACTTTTTGTTTCTATTTTAGAAATTTTAACATTAGTTAACCAAAAGAGGGAAAAACCAACTATCTAAGAGAAAAAACAGCCTTGATCTTTCTCTCACGTGTGACTCTTTTATTATTTTTTAAATCAGTTCAGAGGTTTTGAAGAAGGCTTTAAATTGTTTTAATTTGTTTATCTTTCAGTCAGTATTTTTCAATATTAATCTGTTTTAAATCCAGTATTGTTAGTGACCTTGATGATTTGGAACGCCGTAAAAAAAAAAAAAAAAACCTGAATTTAGTCAGTGAATTAAGTAAAGTAAGAACATGATGCTGAATATGACAGAATACCTGAATAATTCACTTGAGTCGTTCTCAGGTCCGGTTAAAAAAGTTAATTACTGTTCATTAACAATATACCTGGGCTAAATGATAAGTTCCTTAGTCATAGACATTTATTGCTCTACCTGTTTTCTTCTTAAATTTTGTAGCAAGAAGCAAGGTGTTCCAAATTTTTTGACATGAATCATATAAACTGTAAGGCAGTATCTAAAAATGTATTTTTTTCAAAACATTGTATAAGTAATTTTTTCTTTTTTAGCCAAAAAATTTTTGTCAAATTTTCAAGAGATGTACCGAGACACTGTTGTAAAACCATTAATTTACTCAGAACAGTTTCTACTCAAATGCTTTGACGTGTATTCCAAGTAGAGAAAAATACCGTTAAAGGGTCACTCTTTTTTTTTAAACATATTGCTTTTAATGTTTGCTCTCTCAAATAAAACAATAGAGACCACCCACTTGTTTCCGAGGTTTGTTCTAACAGCTTGTTAAAATTTGTTAACACAAACGAGAAATACTTTCTGTATCATTGTTAAATGTTTTTAAGCATACCTCATATACTTTTTAGAGATCAGTTTAGTTTGTGTCCAAACTAATTTCATTTTACACCTGCATATTACCACAATTCCAGCATTATGTTGGGAAACAAATTAATTGCCGATAGGAGTGTAAATGCTTGTCAGAATACTCAACATGGCTCTCGTTTTTTGGCTACAATTGATCGTAAGATAAGTCAACATAACCTTTATTTTTAGCTGAAAATGGTGTTATTAATATTCCACACCCATTTGTAAACCCTTAATGGTGTAGACCATTACTCTCATGCTCAATTACTAAAGGTAAATACTTTCATTTACAGATTACAGTTTGCTTCAAATTCAAGTCGAGCTACTACATTCAGATTCTTCAATGGTACTTAAAACATTCGAAAGACAGTAAATTGCTACCAAGGAGCATTTTTAAGACTAATTTTATTATGACTTTATAATTATACTTATGATTCTGTGAGTTGAATCGTTTTATGTCAAACAAATCAATTTTCCTTCTCACCGTTTCATTTTTCTCCTAAATATTTTTGTCATCATTGAGATCATTTTTTATTTTACTGCTCAAATTTTTATAATTTTATCGGAAATTTTGTACAAGGTTTCTTGTTACAAATATGTTTTTCTTCTTCATAGTCTGTTCTGTAGTGCACTTGATTTCCTATTTCTTTTGCTTCAAATACGGTGTATTTATCTTGACAGTTGAAATTTAGAGGTACCACCAAGTATTCTTCAAGCCCAAGGAATTAGAATGTAATGGAGGAAAAGAAAACCTGTAGTTGAGTTTAAAAAAATTCAATAAATGAACTTTTTGGTATTTCATCAACTAGGCTGAATCTTAAACAGACCTCACCATTTTAATATCAGGTTTCTTTATTATAATTTTTGTTTTTGTTTTGTGATCTCATGTTTCAGTTTCTAATTACTTTTTATGTATGTATTTATTTATTGTAAGAGATCTTATGTTGTATACTTGTATAAGAGCTGTGTTAGTAATGTAGGTTTAATGATTACCGTCAGAATTAAAGCAGTTTATTTTTTTTAAATTAAAGTGTTTTGGTTTTTTGAAGTGATAAACAATTGGTGCTTTAAAGCAAGACAAGAAGACGAATTTCCTGGCTATGCCATTTTTCTCGCGATTTGCGCGTAAATTTTGATTATTTTCGAATTTTCCCACTTGAAGGTACCAAAGAGTTACTGAATTTTTCTGCTCATGAGGTACTAAATTCTTTGAAAAGGTACTGAAAAAGTACTGTAAAAGTACCTTAAAATTTGCCAGCCAGTCTTAGTAGACACCCTATTTATGCAACACAAGAAATCCGATGAGGAAAGTTGGCAGTTTCGAAAACGCCTTCAATTGTGGCGTGATACCTCACGCATTCCGTAGAGCACGAATAGTTGTATCGTTGCGCCTTAGCACTGCGATGGAAGATTAATGTTGAAGTAGCTTCCACGCCGGCCTTGTCGGTTTTCCTTTGCCGCTAATGCAGTTTTAAGCACATAGTTTCAGTGTGCTCAAGCTAGGATGTATTTAGCAAATGGATAATTTTTATAGAAAAATTTAAAACAAAAACAAGCGATAAAAAATATAACTGAATAAAACGAACTCAATCAACAATCAAATACAAGAGAGTACTGTGATAAAACAATGTTGTGTGTTTAACAAGCTTGATACATCGGAAGCATGTCCGAGCTAAATACACGCTCATCAACTGGGACGAAAGCTACAAACACAAAAATCAAACAAGGAGATGTGCGCATAACTGTTGCACTAGCTAGTAAGATCAGTCATTCCATTAATCTCATGCTCCGAATTTTATGCGACACGAGAATCCTATTATGAAAAGTTGGTAGTTTCTAAAACGCCTTCAATTGTGGCGTGATACCTCACGCATTCCGTAGAGTACGAATAGTTGTATCGTTGCGCCTTAGCAGTGCGTTGGAAGATACGTATTGAAGTAGCCTGCACGCTCTCCTTGTCAGTTTTCTTTTGCCACTATTGCAGTTTTGACCGCATAGTTTAAGTGTGCTCAAGCTGGGATTGTATTTAGCGAATGGAAGATTTTTACAAAGGAATTGAAAGCAAACTAAGCGGTAAAAAATATAACTGAATAAAGCAAACTCAAATCAACAATCAACTTAAAGAGGTACCGCAAAAGTACTGAATTTTTCCGGCTTATGTGGTACTGCATTTTTCGGGAAGGCACTATAAAAGTACTGAAATAAAACTTAATTTTGCTAGGTAGCCAGTTTTAGTAAACACCTGCTTGCATACATACCGATATCGGAGATTTCCAATGGTGTCGCAAAGGAGGGTCGAAGGGATTTCCTTTGAATCTAGGGAAATCCCCTAGACCCTTTCAGGGTTCCAGATTTGAGAGGGCAGGTTCGAGACGTCTTCCCAATAAAATTTTAAAACGTTAATAGTCGTTTCAGTACCATAGTTTTGTTCAATTGAGAGATTATGCTTGAACTTATTGTTAGATATTGGCTACTCTTGATTCGCCTTCAAACTCGCCATATAGGCAACAAACCTACACCAGAGTACGAATAGTTATCTCTTCGAAAAACAATTTAATTATCGCTCCTTAACCATTGCTAATTTGAGAGATATGGGTGAACCTATTGATAGATATCGGCCACTTTAGGTTCGCCTTCAATTTCGCCACATAGGCAACAATCATGAATTCTGAATTTTGCACAACCTCTTAGTATAAAGAGTAAACATTAAAAACCGGGTAAGCGCAGTTAGATGTCATAAAAACTGTGTAGCTGTCTGTCCTGTTTAATTGAAATTCATTGGTTTTGAATGAAAATTTTTGATTTAAAAAAAATGTCAAGAAAATGACTAACAGAAAGATAATGAAACGAAGACGAACGAAGATTTATGTTCAGTTACAATGAAAACTACTATCCCAAATAGCACAAATTGCAATTCCTTGATAAAATTATTGCTACTATATCGGAGTGTTGTGTATGTTACCCATTTACCGATTGAAGGAACGCCTCTTTTTTAAATTTATTGCAATAAATTTGAAACAAGTCGCAATTTTTTTTGCATTGTGGATCGCCCATTTGTCTGATTCATGCCCCTCACATATTGTTAATCGTTTCAAATCGGCACTTATTGTCCTAAAGACAGGGCCAGATTTACCCTCTTGCCGCCCATGGGCCGTCTATATTTTGCCGCCCCCTTGTCATTCGTTTTGAAACATCGATACAAACCATCAAGTGAACGTGTCGGAGGAGGAGGGGTGCATAAGACGCGTTTACTCGTGTTGGGCACATTTTTTGTGAGAGCCCTGTCAGCACTAGCAAAAGTTCACGAAACTTTGCGCGAAAATTAAGTTCCGTAAACCTAAGTATCTCTGTGTGGACGAGGCCTTTTACATTTTTAAGAAAAGAACGAACAAATTATGAAAGAATAAACATGAATGTGGTTTAATAATTTTAATTACCGCCAACCGCATTGTGTTTGGAGCAATGCGTGAAGTATTCATGCAGTCTTGTAGGCGCTATGCGTTTCACGCCGACCGCTGCTAACCGCACTACGTTTGACGCAATGCGTGAAGTATCCATGGAGTCTTGTGGGCGCTAATATGTGTTTCATGCCGACCGGCGCGCCGAGGGCTTCTCCTTTCCATCTCAAGTCTTCATTATCATTGCTCTCTGCGTCGCGCCACTCCAGACCAAACTCCGTGTTTGGTTTCCCTCTCAACTAGACTAATAAAAGGCGCTGTCTCTTGTATCACCGAAAGACGAACAAATTAGAAATTACTATACTTTAACTCTCAGGAAACGACAGATTTTTCCGCCTTTTCTCGTTTGTAATTTTTTTTTCTCGATCAGATTTTTTCCTTGATACCTTCATTTCAAAAAGTTACAAAATTTGCCGCCCCCTAAATTTGCCGCCATGGGCAGCGGCCCATGTAGCCACCCCCTAAATCCGGCCCTGCCTGAAGATGTAAAAATACACTGTAATTTCATTGTAAAACACAGACAAAGAGAGACCCTGCATTGGTATCTCGGCGATGGTGGAAGCTTTTACTTCGAGACTCCAACATTCTACTGTTCACCTTCTTTCTTGGCGGATATCGACGGTGAAACTACCAAACCACGTATCTCGGTTTGCGACGTCGCAGACTTCCTGTCATACTTTATTTTTTAAATGAAAAACTACTTAACATCCAGTCTTGAAAATTTCTGTGATTTTTCCTCTTTGTGCGGAGAAAATTCCGTGAAAATTTCAAGGAATGATATTGATTTGGTCTACTTCAAAATAATAAAATGTGAGCGTAGATTTTTAAACACCGCAAACGAGATACGTGGTTTGGTAGTTTCACCGTCGATATGCTTCTTTGCTTAAACAACGTATTGAATATTTCGTTTTGCAAGCAAATCAAAGTTTGGAACACTTGCTGGCTCATAACTTCACCTTGAGCTCATTATCCACCTAGTAGATAGTGTGGACTTCATCTTAAAATTATGAACTACAATGTCTGGCTCATCCGTAAAAACACCTACGTACATAGGAGAACTAATGGTGCATACGTTGTTTCTAATCTGAGACAGAAATTGTAGTTCCTAATTGCAAAATGTAGTTCATATGACTGTTGCTCCCATGAATCCCCGAGAGTAAAATTTTCCACTCGTCGCCAAGACTAACGTGAGGCTAGTGGAGGGTCTCTCTTTGTCTCTGGTAGAAAATCGCAATTTTTTTGAGTATTATCATTGCGCTAGTTGTGCCATTAGGAACATGGGGCATACACAGTCTTCGCAAGGGTTCATGTCGCTGACAGGGTTGCCGGCGGTCTAAAAACCCAGGAAAATGAGGGAAAGTCAGGGAATTTTTGATAATCACTAAAATCTATCACTGACTGTTCTGTTCACCCTCTCTGGTTACTTTCAAGGTTTGTCATCTTTTAACCAGCTGCTGTATGCCTTTTTCCGCAATTTGATATCCAAACAAGAAAATTGTACCTAAAATCTAGCGAAAGTCAGCGTATATATTTAATGAAGAAAAGTGGAAACTTTGTTCAAAGGTCAGAGAAAGTCAGAGAATTAGAAAATATCGGAGTCAGGGAAAACCAAAAAAATTTAGGGAAAGTCAAGGAATTTGAAAACAATGAAATTATGGAAATTATCAGAGCTTTCATATAACTTTAAAAGCACAGTTTTAATCTTTTTCAAAATTCTGCCCGTGATCCCGAAAAACGTTCCGAATGCATCACCCTATGATCCTGTGAGAACAGGTGCACTGCAACATGTTATGATCAGTCTTTTAGAGATCTTATAATCTCTTCATCAGTCTTCTCCTCCTCCTCCTCCTCCTCCTCCTCCTCCTCCTCCTCCTTCTCCTTCTGCTTCCACGAACTACTAGGTCATAGCCCTGTTTGTCAAGGGTAAGTCCATCTAGTATCGATCACACTAACTCACAAAAACATTATTAAATACAAGAATCTTAAAAAATAAAGAATTCGTCAAGGCTTCGATCTCCTTCCTCCAAAAAGCTTTTCTCATAGAGTACATAGAGTCGTAATGTAAACGGGAGATCTGGCGCCATGTTCTGCTCGACGAGTTCCGAGCCCGGTGTGCGCTGAGTTCGGGTCACTTTTTCGATCCAAAATGGCGGTGTGGAATATGTGGTGATTCCTATCTTTTCTCTTTACATTGGATGGCCGAGTACCCGTGTATCGCAAACAATCGATTATGTATCGAAAAAGTGACCCGGCGTCACACAGGAGTCTCGGAATTCGGGATCTGGAAAATGCTCAAAAGTGGCGCCAGCTCACCCACTTACATTACGTACTCTATGGCTTTTCTTCATATCAGCGGCCCGCTGACCAAATGACCATGCAGGGCTCGAAATTCGAATTTCCACTCGTCATGTGACCCCTCGAAAGCCGTTGGATGCTGCGATCATCCGGCAACGCAGCATCCTCTTTTATGATGCGGCTCCAGGTGGGGGCGGGGGCGGGAGGCGGGGGCAATGATCATGAAAGAGAAGTCTTGAAAGGAGCCCCGTGATCGCGCGTCCAGCCGCGGG